TAAAGTAGGTTTACAAAAAGAATAATGTGGCTTTAAAGGGAGCTGGAAAAATGCAGAGTGGGTATTTGAGTTAATGTTCTTTTCAGCATAATGGATGAAGCAGATCTTTATTTACTTCTATTAACAAAATTACATTGAGGTAGCTTGTTGGTCTCTGACAATACTCTGTACTTAATTAAAATAAAATGTAAAAGTATATTAAGCATGTTCGTAACCCTTTTTGTAAAGACTTTATTCAGATATAGCAAGCTGTGTTAGCACATGTTGTTGTAATGATACCATTAGTCATTTGCTTTTCAATAAGGGTTCAATAAGTCCACCATGAGTTAGCACTTGGCAACATTGGCAAAGAAAAACCTCTGTGAATCAGACATGACATGTCTGCGTTTAGAATGCTATTTTTATCCATGTCATTAGACATTTATTCATTTAAAAACCGCACGGCAGGAAAAAACTTGTTCCCAACATTTCCTGGATTACTTCTATTGATTTTTAACCATTTGTGGCAGCTGCATCTTTCTTGGTTCTGAATTTGTTTTTATCATGACACTGAAGTAAATCACACTCTGCAAGTGTCTGGTGTTGTGAAAGCACTACATTTTGCAGCCAGCTTGATCCTCCCACGATTTTACCCGCTGGTTGACATGATGGAGTTGTACAGCTGAAGGAACTCTGCACATTTATATTTAATCGCCTACCTCTCATCCTTAATGCATGAGTAGAACGGGAGACCCCCATAAACCCCCTCTCATGGGGCAGCACAGTGGGAGAGGGGAAAAAGGGGGATTAGAGCCGGATTAAATCTGTGGTGTGAATAGGAGCCTCGAGACCACCACAATTATTCGCTTCCCCCATCACTCCCTAGCCCGCCTGCCATCCTCCCTTCTCTCTCTCTAACACTCGTGCAAAAACACACAAACTCCCCCTGTCTGTCGTTGTCATAGTTTATTGTCTAGCAGCTCCACAGTTCACATTTGTGAGGAACATACCCTCATACCCTCCTTAAATCTTCTCCTGTTTTTTGTTTGGAAATAAATCCAACAAAATGAGCATGAGCTGATTGATTGCTTGATAAGATCTTAAATAATCCCCCATCCAGGACTTTCTTTGAATGAGGACGCTGAACCACAGCCTGATTCAGAATGTTTTAGTGCAAGATGGGAATTTTTTTTACCAAGCCAGGAAAAGTAAGAGCTATCATTTGCTTCTAATCAGAAAATTCAGTGTACTGCAATATATATATATTTAACCCCAGATATCCACAAGTCAAATACAAGAGTATGACCAAAAACAATTCTATCAGCCAGAAAAGGTTATGTCATTTTTATCGTTTGATTATCTAAAAAAAAAAAAAGGACAAATTCTTTTACCCAAATGTGAAACTTTAAAACAGAAAAAAATCAAGCTCTCTGCCAATGGAGATGTCCTGGCTGGATTTCCAAAGATTTTGTTTCCCATATTTTCTCAGACTTCATTGAGCTCATGAAAGATAAATGACTGGCTTGTTCGACCATGGGCCATGTTTGTGTCCTTTCAGTATCCTCTTTGGTTATGTTTTTTGAGTCAGTGTGTGTGTGATTCCATAACTTTTCCCTTGAGTCCTTATCCACTCAGCAGTTTGAAACATTACTTTCTGTCTGCATACGAATGTGTGTATTTCGGTGAATGCGTTTAATGGATGCACGGTAGAAGCTCCATCATCACTGGCTCACAACATCTCCATCACTCAGAAATCAATAAGTATTTACCTGTGATGAAATTACCCATCACTCTTTGCTCCCCTCTCACTTTTTCCTGTCTCTTCTTATTCATAAACAGACACAACAAGCCAGCAGTAAAGACTGTGGGTCAGTGAGGAAGAGAGTAGAGGATTCTTCCTGTGTTTGCTTTAGTCAATATCAACAGCAGTTGAGTATCAGTGTTGCCATTAGTGCCTCCAGTACAATAAATAAAACACAATGCATAACGGTACTGTGCTTAATAAGATATTGATTTTACTAATACTATCCTTTTTTAGTCACACTAAAACTAATGTGGGAGATCTTCATATGGCATATGTGAGTAAATGTAAATTAGAGTCACATTGTGAAAGTTTAGCCAGCACTATTATTCCTGAGAAAGTCTCAGAGAGACCCAGAATGTGTTCATATAAAATGTATGTATATTATAAGTGGTTTACTGCATTAATAAAGGGGTTTGTGTGAAGGAGAAAGAGACAGCAGGTGCATTAATGTTTAAGCTGTCTGCCATCTAACCTCAGCTGTACAAGATACCATTTTTTAAAATGATGTGTACATATGGTAACAAATGTTTGAATCTGTGGGACTATTTTGCTCGATCAAGGGATTTGTTGTTAAGTAAACATAAAGTTCCTCAGGGATATCAAAGTTTTATGTCAGCTGATGTGTAATAGACGTAAAATAAAATGTATGTCCCAGTAGTTTGTAAGATCATTAAATATCTAGGAAATACATTTCACTCGTAAAACATAGGGGACACTACTGTAAATGTAGGGCAGTAAATGGTTATTTTATTTGTTTATTTGATGGATAATCCTTGTCTTCCATGTGTTCTTTAACAAGATGTCAGAATAAAACATTCATGCAAAGGGGAAAAAACAATGCCAGTGATTTAGGACATAACCAAAGAGTCCACTATGGCGAAATTTATCAAACTGTGTCTTCCCTTGAATATGCCTCACATTGAGAACAAGCCATTGAACTTGGTAAACTCCTCCCCTCAGTGCCTTGTTTCCCTGTGGGTTTGGGGAAGTGGAGCGGGGGAGTTAAGTGCTGAAGGGGTCGTACAGTAGAACAGGCCTATTAGAAGAGAGCACTGTGGAGGCAGCACCCCCAGACTCAATGTCTTTAATATTACATGTTGGCACCAATGTTCCTCGCAGCCTCAGCTCGCTTCCAAGCTCCAGTTTGGCTTGTTTTGCATGTACAACTGGTAGTGTGAGTGTGTTAGAGGGTTTATGTGTGGGTTTGGACGGCCAGTATTGTCTGATGTGTCGATGGAGGAGGTTTGCTGTAGGTTTGCACGGTGTCGCAGGAGGACATCTTCTCTCACACTGGCACTGCCGAGATCTAAGCTGGTAAGACCGGAGAATCAGAGGTTTGGCTTTTTCCAGAGCAGATGGAGCACCAAATACGTTATTCCAAAAGAGAGATGAAACCTAGCTGCTTCGCAAATACAATGTTTAACCATCCCAGTCAGCCTCTAATGACTCTTTTCAGTGGAAAAACTTTCGGTTTGGCCAATGTGTGTTGTCCTTCTTCTACCAGATATGGGTGAAGGTGACTTGTCCTTTTGTTGTTGCTGTTCTTGGAGAATAAGTATTGTTGTGCTAAAAACTGCTATCTTTGAATAGAGATAAACTGAGACCTTTTGATTGATCTGCTTGTCCACACTAGAAAAAGTAGCCGTATTTTTTTCACCTACATACATGTTTTGACATTGATTGTGTTCAGCTTTGTTGGACTTCTGATTCCATCAGAATGATGTTTTTGGCAATCTTTTTCTATGGTACTGTGACATACCGTACCAAGTGATCAAGATTTCTTTGGTTTATACCAATCTTTTGACGAAAAAGGATTTGATATCATCAAAGCTAGTGTTCATCAGCTCCAACATGCAGTAAAAAATACCCTAAAATGTGTTTATAGATGTTTGTTGTTTAAATGCTTCAAATTGAACTTAATGTAAATGGATTACTTCAAACAAGGATGAACAAATGTTGTTACTTTAAGTAGTGTATTGGCTCTTCTGTTTGTCTCCCTCTCTCCATGGTCCTGAAACATGTTAACATAGTCTTGCTGTCCCTTTGTTTACATATTTTTTAAGTCACATAACTTCAGAAACAACACAAATATCTGTAACCATTTAGCATCATCTTTGCAACTTCCTCCAGTACAGTATCAGTGAGAATATTAAGCAACACCCAGTTAGCAAGTCAGCACATCTCAAGCACTGAGCACATTGCAATAATGAACTTCACTTTGATCAGACTGTTTTTTTGTTTGCATTAATTCTTGTTTAAATGCAGTTTGTAAAGATGTGTGATAGTAATTTAAACGTAACAAGTGATTGGGTTTTTTAATGTGGCAGTTTTTGATAGTGGATGTTTACCAGTTTTGCTCAGGTTAAAAAAAAGCTTTGATCGAAGGGGAAAAGAGGGTCATTTGTGGAAACACTTACAGGGTTTAAGAACGGAGTTGTCTCCTTGACTGACAGCTTTGTCTCCTTCTGAATCTGAAGTGTTCCAATGAGCAATTCAGGTTTTGGAGTGTGCAATCTTCAGGAAAGGTGATACCAAAAATAGGAACAAAAGAACATTCTTTTTATCGCTGCTCACACTTACCCTTGTGCAAATTGCCCTTTTATGCTGAAGTAAACACTGACCACCATCAACAGATTTGTTCAATTTTTTTTTTTTTGCATAAAGCCAGCCTCATGATTTTTTATTTGATTGTTCAAATGGCAATGAAAATATGTTTGCAATTTTGTGTGTAGGGTTATTTTCTTTGTTTGGGTTGAGTTGACATTTTTCTGTCTTTGCGTGGGGATCTAAATTAATTTGATTGTTCTTAAAAGAATACACAAGTTTGTTTGTACAGATAGCACATGACAGGTAAGTAGTCTGCATTGGGAAAAAAGCTTGCCATTGCACATTAAGGCAATAAAGCCAGAATTTACAGTTCTGTTGTTTTGATAAGGTCACTCATATTATAAAAACCCACCGCTGTCTATCAGGAATCAAATCAACGCGCAGCCTTGGATCATGCTTTACAGCTGTCTGAAGAGTCTACAGCTCTGTCCTTCTCATGTTAACTATCTGAGTATAACATTTGAGACAGTGCCAAACCAGCATTGGCTTTCATGCTGATGAAACAACAACAGAGTGTGTGCATGTGTGTGTGTCGTTGACTGTTTGTGAGTATTTCTCTGTTAAACTCAAATCCACTTATCTTATTCTCACCTCCTTTCTTTCTGAACAGCTTCCTGCTGACCTCAATAAGATGCACTTAACTGACCACGCCCATCAGCAAGTGATGCACATGCCTCCCAGCCAATCAGGGTGCAGCATCGCAAGTGACTCGGGCAGCAGCAGTCTGTCAGATATTTATCAGGTGTGTACACTATTTCCTAATTGAATCATTAATTTAATCTATTTTAATCTGATATCAATGTAGAACAAAAGTCAAATCATGATATTAGCATCTCCTTTAGCCTCATGTTTTTTTATGATTTATTTTGACATATGCCCTTTGACTTTTCCTGATTCCTTAGCATACGTGTTAAACATTCTCTGGTTGTTCAGGTTTACCTAAAATCCAGGTTGAAGTTTCATCTATCAATTTTGCAACAAGCTTGATTCCCATCTCTTCTATGTACCTGTTGCATATGTGTCAGTCCTCTACAGCCCCTCCTCATGACCTGAGTGTCTCACTAATTATTGGGCACCAGTTGCGCATTCCCGGTGATCACCCAGCACATCCTGCTGTGAAAAAAAAAGGTCACATGCAGGAAATGAACTTAACCTTTCAGACATGGTCCATACCTTCCCATCACATATAGAAGCTATAACGTAGTCAGGTTAGCTCGGCTTATAGCGACCATTTTGCATGAGTTCCTTTAGGCTGCTTCCACAGGTCGATTTAATTAAAGAGAGGTACAGTAAGTTAGGCGTTAGTAAGGTGTTTATAAGCAGTTATACAGTCGAGTCATAATTTTAATTTGTATTAGGAATCTTTGCACATGAGACTTCAAACTCTACATTTAACAGCATATTAAAAGTGGAAGCACAGACAGCATGTCGACCTTTAAAGATTTCGATTTAGTCCTTTACATTTTCAATATAATTTTTAAGAAAAAGACAATGAAGCATATACCAGCATTGCATCATAGCAGCAGGCCATCTTAATGCACAAGATATTATCGGCAGGACCAAGGGATCTTTTAGTTATTCTCAGTGTTACCTTTAGGTGACATTTCAGAGCATTCAGTAGCTCAGTGTGCTTTGGTATTAAATCCCTCTCCTGAGAGAAGGGTATTTAAACATCTACAAATCAATAATCCATAAAAGGGTACAAGACGCGGCTGTCAACTCATCACTTTAAATCCCCCCGCTCTCCTAATCTCCCCTCTTTACACAACAAATTGTAATAAATGCCATCAACCTTTTAAATGATCTTGTAGCCCCGGCTCCTCTGCACTGGGTGCTGCAGTATTTTACTCTGCTAGTCTCCTTCACAAACTGCACTTATTCCTCATATATTGTTATATGTATTCATAAGGAAGAGTTCTATTTAAAGACATGGTTAGCATTGTTAGCATTTATCAATAAAATTTGAGGTCCGAACAAATGAATGAGCTTGTTACAAAAAATGAAGCTGTTGTATCAATTGGCACTGCAGGTCACAAAACCGCTAAGCTAGTTGGTACTTGTTAGCATTCAGTGTGTTGGTATCTATCATTGATTCTCCTGAACAGAACTTTAAAAGACATTTTAAAACAACAATACTGGACACACCATCCAATTTTTCCAAGTCAGTGGGCGAATACTGAGTACTGTACTGGTACCAGTGTGTAATCAAAAAGCTTTATGCCTTGTGTTCAAAAGACACTCTTTTATGTTCAAGGCAATATCTGGCTTAACTTCAACAGTCAATTCCCTACTTTGTAAAACCAACCATTACAGTTTTACTGTTATTAAGTGTTGCCGTTGCAAGCAAGAAATACCTTCTAACTGCTGGCACTCAAGCTTACAGTATAGGGGCGCCCATCTCATTACCTTTGAACAGAATAGTTGCCTAGTGCATTGACACCAACGTTGGACAGACAGTCATAACGTTCAAATTGTCAGAGAAATCTGTTTTGAGCACCAGATTTAAATAAAAAAAAAAAAAAAAATGGTGATATTAAAATTATTTTTTGTATTTGGAACTAATGATTTAATAATTTTATCACACAAGTATGTGGGTGACGAAACACTGCCGCATCAATATTTTGTCCCACCCCTCATTGACACTGACACCCAATCCAGTGATATCTAATTACATGAATGGGAATTGGAACATCCCTACTAAGGATAAAGTAATATAGAAGACAGTTAGATAGAGCAACATATACTAACTAAGACCCTGTCTCTTGTGCATTTCTGTCAGGGCTTAAAAGTAATAGTGCATGGAGCCTATGAATTATAGAACCCATTGCCGCTATCAACTGAATCTCACAAATCCACCTGCATGCAATAGGAAACAGACCAAAATGACATCACTCAGACATTTTAACCTCCTCATGCACCTCAGCCTGTCGTATCTCATCAGTCTGTCTGCGACTGTTTGCAGATTGATGTAAGTCAAGTCAACAGAGGTCAGACGTTTAACACCTGAGACCTGATCTCTTCATCCTGAGATTAGATATTAATCACACGCTTCTGATCCCATCAGCTTGTCTCTGACCCGGTCCTGTGTTTGTTTACAGCTGTCTTGAAGAGCTGACCCACCAGTCGGCTGTGCTCCTCAGCTGTCAGAGCAGCAGACTGTTTTTGTTTGGGGTTTCTCTGAATCGGTTTCCTCCTTTTTTTTACTACTTTATCCACCAAACTAGAGTCTTTCACTTTTCTTAGTCTAACCACTTCTAGTCTAAGTTCTCCTATCCTTCCCTTCGACTCTTTCCCTTTTTTACAACCCTCTGTTGTAAGTCCTTATCTATCATTCTACTATTTTCTTTTAGATGTTTTCCTCTGCTCCCCCCTCCCTTCTTCCATCATATATATCTGCTATATTCTGCACCGGTATGAATTCCTTTCTCGTTTTTGTCTCTGTCCTATATCTGTTATTCATTTACAGTGCTGTAAAATGTGGGGGTTTATGGGCAGATCTGTTGTCCCTCGTCTCGAGAAAAATGTCCTCCTGGCTCAAACTTGTTCAGAGACTGGGGGAGTTGGACTGAAAGAGCACATCCTGCATATTGAATGAACTAGACTCTCAAAACTCTGAAAGACTTGTCAGTGACAGAGTGTGACAGGAAAATTGCAGTGTTTGTCTTAGGATGGCACCACTGCTTCTTTTAAAACCATAATTCTCCACTTTCCAACCAAGTTTGAATTGAGGGCCATTATACTGCAAGAATATGTCACCTGAGTATAGGACGGAGGATGGATGTGAAGTGGACATCTGAAGAACTCAACCAAAACACTGATGGATTGAAGGTGACTGGGGTGGAGGAGGGTCGCAACGATCCACGCTGAAACGGAAAACTGACAGAGCAGACAGGAAAACAGATTTAAAGTTTGGCAAGGGTGGGATGTTTGGTTGATATACTTCTTGGTGAAATGAGGATGGATTAATACTTACGAGGAAAACGCCCCTAATGAGCTGATTTCCAAGCAGGAAGAGACCAAGAGGAAGAGATCAATAGAGAAAGGGAGCAATGTGAATGAATGCTGACTTCATGAATGCAATGACTATGAAACACTGTTCCTGATTGATCTCATGCAGAGCTACATTTCTACCGGTCAGAAAAAAAAAATCAGATTTGACCTTTTAGTTTGGCAAAAAAAAGAAAGAAAAAAAAAATTTCACCAGTCTATTTGTATCCATTGGGCCAAAAAAATAATATTTTTTGCAGAAAAGGACAGAGCTGAGCAGCTGGAGTGTTTCAAAAGCCCAACTTAATTTATAAAAACAAGTGTGAACCTGGGCCTGAACTCCCTGAAATCTCTTCGCCTTTGAGAAACCTATAAAACTTCTTGGCCAGGTACCAAATCACTGCAGAACCTGAGCGCTTTATTAAACCATTGATTAAAGAGCTCCCTTTTAGTGGCTGGAATTTAACTTTTTACCCACAAGCTTCAACTCCTCATATAACAAACCAATCTAAATGAGTACCAGACACCTATGTGTGTGAGAAGCATGTGCCTAAAATAACAGAGTGTAAACCAGAATTTCACCTCGGGATTAATGAAGTATATCACATTTTTTTTAAAAAGCAGTCTCATTGATGCCCAAAGCATACCATTCCTCTGTCATCCCTTATCCAAAATTGAAGGCTGTTTAATTTAAGGGTAACACCTGAACATTGTGACACGTGAAATCGTAGGAAAAAAAGGTTGATAGCTGCATCTGTTGTGTAATGGTGGGAAATTTAAACAGAATAGAAAAAAAGATGTAAATAATCAAACTAGCACACTGATAGAAATTCTATTTTAAACTTCAAATTGACACTGTTCTTTCAAACGCCAAAGGATTTGACAAGCGCAAGATGTTCTTCAAATGTAACAATGCTCATATCGATCCTTTAGTATCCCCTAACTGTTTTCTCAACGACAAAGCTAGACTCAGTATATAATATTAAATTGATTTCTATTATCACCTGTCATACCTAAAATAGACCGACTAAAACCATGGTCAGGTTTAAAATGTTGTCTGTGAAATAGGAAATCAACCATACCCAAATCAGTATAAATATTTGTCATACTGGACTGAGCGGAATGAGTTTTGGATTGACCGAAGTTGTCATGTTTTAAGTCTATTTAAAAAAATGATTGAGTAAATTAAAGCACTAAATGAATCCAAAGAATGTACAGAATAGGAGGTAAAAATCTGGATAAATTTGGCTTGACTATTTTCTTTGTCATATAAGCCCCACATGTACCTGCAGGAGCTAACAGATGGCTGCAGTGCTGCTACCACCACTGGAGAGCTCCTCTTTTCACCTCTCAGGTTGAAGGTTCAGTTCCCTCCTGACCCATAAATCCCTCTGCCCACCATCTGTCTGCCCCTGCACAGAAGGAACATGGAGGAATATGAGTCATTAGTGTTGGATTTGAATAATTGGCTGATCGCCTCTGATTTTTAGTTTGAGACCTTGTGGGAGAGAGAGAGAGAGAGAGAGAGAGTTAGCTCAGGGTCACAGGTACGGTTGCTTAATCCAAGGTTATTTATTCCTGCTTTTGTGTGGATGATCATTGAAAATTCAAAGAGCTTATGATTAGAGGGTGTATGTTGTTACTAATAGTGATGGTTGATTAATAACCATTGAACAAATTGTCAGTACTGAAATAAAAGGAAACATTTCAGTTCAAAGATTATCACTTTGTACCTTATTCCAAGTGCTTTTCCACAACCTTGAAAACTTCAGTTTGTCTTGTGCCTTATTTCACATTCACATAATCAGGCAGTGTTTGTTTTATGATGTGATTTCAATCAGCCACCATCAAAGATTTGGTCAAATTCTTTAAACAGGAATACCCCCTTCAGATGTGTCATCTAGTTTCTTCACAGACTTTCTATTTTATCTTGTTTCTTTACTGTTACAAACCTGTGCTTACATCTCAACTGTCTTTGCTGCAGGCCACAGAGAGTGAGCTGGGAGATGTCGACCTGTCCGGACTTCCAGAGGCTGCAGTGGACAGCGAGGAAGAGGAGGAGGAAGACGAGGACCTGGAAAGAGCTTCAGACACCCTTCTGGGCCGAGACCTGGTCAGGGAGTGTCTGGAGAAAGACCCAGCCGACCGCAATGACGACGACATTGGTCAGTCCATCTCTTCTTTCTTAATCACACCTTAAAAGGGTGTGACTAACGCCTCGATTACCCTGCATGCTAATTACTCCACTGACTATCAGTTTCTATTATTAGACTAAATGAACAAAGGATTGAGCCCTCAGGAACAGCATGTATCATTCAGTGTGCAGAGGGGTGCTACATAAACCGCGCTCTTACAGAAAAGACCCCGCACAGTGGTATCTAAACACCAGTGCCCTTCCAGTGTGCAATCAGAGAGGCGACCTCATTAGTGGAACACAGAGGGGTCCGGTAGGAGAAGGTGACTACATCAGAGAGCTGAGGGAAGCTGTAAAGGCTCGACCTACTGTGTCGCCGCTGGGAGCCCGGCCTCTTGTGGCCTTCACCAGCGAAGCGTCACGCTGCTCATTCAGAGGAAAGAGATGAGATGTAGGAGGACGAGGAGGATAGGGATGAATGAAACATATCAAAGTAATAGAAAATGTACATTTCAAAACATCAATTTGGCGTGCGTCTTCAATCCTTTTCCTAAGTAAATAGGAAGACATTCTCAGATTGTTTTCCTGTTGGTTCCTAACCTTGGTGCCGGGTTTTGGCCACATGAAGAAAATGTCACCATGAAGAAATCATTTCTGCTCGGCAAAATGAGGCATATTTTTCTAAACATCTGAATAATTTTGCCAAACTTTTAAACATCTGGCTTTAGAATGTCCTGAATAACTCCCTGAGCCATGTCTCATGTCGACCAAAGAGTTGGAGAGAGAGGAGTAAGACAGGTAATAACAGCGGGTGAGTTAAAGTGGAGCTTCAGGTCCAGGATGCAGAATGTGCAGGTTGGAGTTAGGTCACTCTGCCCCCTGACACGGAGCAGACGGAGTATACAGAAGATCAGTAAGGACAGTGTAGGAGACTTTCTCATTAGACAGGAAGATAAGAAGCACAGAGAGTATATGCTGATCTGATAAGATTATGCTTCATGTGGGAATTGACAGTAGCCCTGACATATGTGAATGAGAACCATTCAAAGGTTTGTTTTGGAAATACTGCTGGTCCGTTAGTGGGAAAATCAATAGGTGTTTTAGTCTCAAACAACTGGGAAGAATTGCTTTCGATGCACAAGTTAAAGAGCGTCGATGTAACCTGTGTCAGAGTTTTATTTATATTCTATTTGCTTTCTTGTCTCCTCTTTTTACCCTTTGGGCCCAACAGAGCAGCTACTGGAGTTCATGCACCAACTGCCAGCCTTTGCCAACATGACCATGTCTGTGCGCAGAGACCTGTGTAGCGTCATGGTGTTTGAGGTGGTGGAGCAGGCTGGCACAGTCATACTGCACCACAAACAGGAGGTATGATTACACTAATATTACAGAGGTGTCTCAAAATAACTGAGAAAGTGTCATGTCAGAGTCTGAGAATGTTTTTTTAAAATGAATGTGTTAAATACTTTTGAGATAGTAGTTTATGCTGTTACCAGATTTGTTTTATTTGAATGATACCAAGCCATCTATTTTTCCCACATACACAAACCACAAAATATGTTGTTATAGTTTTTTTTTACTTTATCAGCTTCATTCACAAAAGGAAACTTTCTTTAAAATGTAATGCAGAAGGTCTTTATATAGGCAAAAACAAGATGTATGCTGGCTCACTGATTCTAGATAAGCAGGTTGGTATAATCACATTGTCTGTCAAACACTATAGTGACCATTAAAAAAAAACATGAGCAATCACAGATGCATAAAGGCAGTCTTAAGTAAACATAAAAAAGTGTTAAAAATTTACGAAGTTTGAAGAAACTGAACAAAAAAAGCCCAAAAGTATACGAAAGAGTACAATTCTTCAACAATCTCAACTCTATCATAGGCTTATTCACGTACCCAAACTGTAGTTTGCTAAAGTGACGGCCCTGTCAATCACCTGAGATGCTACATGGCTAATTAATTAAGTTACATGCCTGAGAAACAGGAGCTCTGTCATGGCTGTTTGGTTACACAGAGCAGCATTAAATCCGACAGGGTGATAAATGGCAATGAACTGCCAGATGCCAAGCTCCAGGAGGATTGAAAACCACGTCAGCATGACAACCAAACACACACATATACACGTATGTGTGTGCATTGTACGGATGTCTGTGCTTCCATACTGTCTGCGTCTAGTCACGGTGATTGACAGGTCTTCTTCGCTCATGTCTGTCTCTCTGTGGACTTGCATTGAAGGTCAAAGAGAAGCACTTGTCTCCTATCACAAGGGACCATAACTCTGCTAAGTGAGCTAGAAAGCGTTGGGACATAAAAAAAAAAAAAAGAGTCTAAAGTGTTCTAACTGAATTAAAAAAGCCCGGTTGAGTGTTTCAGAGGACAGAAAGTGTCTAGGGAGCCAGCATAGAGCAATCAGAAGAATACAGCAAAGAGTAAAACCTATAAGCTTTCTTTTATAACCATTCTATAAGATATGAACCAGACAAATAAGGTTTTACTCACATTTGCATGCTATCATAAATAATCAAAATGTAAAGGTAGATTATAAATGCTACGAGGGGGGTTGAATTCAGTGAACACTTAACTGAAATAGCCTCTCAAGGACTTTTGTGCTCAACTTTTATGTGGTTGTTGACCTTACCTCACCTTTCTTATTACCATTTCATCACTGCTGAGAAATACAGAGATTATGAGGCTGACTGGAAGAAAGAGAAACTGATCAGCAGACAAAGTGAAGAGCACTGAGAGAATGGGATATTTGCAGGCTGAGAAACAGTGAGGGAATGAAAAGGCAATGAGGAGGAAATATCAGTTATAGTTTCGGAGGAAGCTCCGGGCTTGTTTGTCGCCCCCCCCCCCTCCACTCGCTCACATCGGGGACGAATGGATTGGTATATAATGCCTGCCAGCATTTCCTTTTCAAAGAGCCGCCACTAGAGACACAATACCTTTTTACTATCATTCTCAACCCTCACACAATCCACATTATGCTCACAATAGACTAAATGTCACGTAGTAATAATAGAGCTATTTAAGCAGTTATCCTCGTGCGGCTGTGTAAGGCCCATTGGTTGGATTGTGCCTCTAATTTTAAGTGCTTCGAAGTTATCATAGATATTACATTTGGGTGATATCCACTGTGTTCTTTGTGACCTAATGATTTGAAAAAAAGGACACCAAGCAAATTTGCAGTAGGCCAAATTATTTCATTACAACTTTGGCTGAAATGGCTAACTTTGGCTTGCTAATAATGACGGACTAATGTAATTTTAGAGATCTAAAACTTAGTGTGTCTCAGAGAGCCCGTTGTATTTATTATTTTAAAACTGCACATTATCAAAATCAACCGACTGATTAAGGCAAGCTAAATATGCACTTTCCAATAACTCCTTACCCACTTTAATGCATTTTTGTTTATCTCATGCAATAGTCAAATTAAAGGTCAAATAATGGATTCCCTTTCAACCAGTTTAAATAAATCTCAAAGCTCACTAAAACATGTCTGTGAAGTTTCTTGCTAAAAAAATCCACTTTTATCCTGTATTTGGTCATGCCTCTAAACCACTCTATTTCAGCCCTGCTCAGAACAGGCTGTTTCTGTGTCTGTATCTTTAAATGCAAGTAAGCTGTGTAAGACCACGCCCCTCTGGAAGGGCTTAGGTGGCTTGGGCTTTCTCACTCCATGCCCAATTGTTAACAGTGAGAAGACGGTCTCAGAGGGCAGAACAAACCCCAAGCTGTGGGAGTGTCACCCACCTGGGGGAGGGGTTACTGCCCTTTGTGATGTCATGAAGGGAAAATCTCCAAACAGCTTGTTTGAGCACACATTTTCCTCAAAGTGGAGCAGGCATAAGACAGAGAGGATGGTACTTTCTCACAATTGGGGGGTTTGTAGACAGACTAGATACACATATTAGTGTTTAAAATGCATTTTGTATAATATATGACCTTAACTTCAACAAAAATAATAATAAAAAAAAAATTATTCTCAAAGATATTGAATTGAAACTACAGGATTTTGACTTAGCTGTAGAAAAACATTGTCTGGAAACCTGACTGAAGAACAATAACAGGGTCCATACGCCAGCATTTATAACCTTAGTATGACTACGAGATTTAAAAAAATATTGGTTTTGTGTGCTTAATAATTAAAAAAATGTCTTCTTTCTTTGTCTTTTGTGCAGCTCGACCTCTGGTATGTTATCCTGAACGGCGCCGTGGAGATCAGCCATCCAGAGGGGAGAATGGAGACTCTCTGCATGGGCAACAGTTTTGGCATCTCACCGTCGCTGGACAAACAGTACATGAACGGAGAAGTTCGCACCAAAGGGGACGACAGCCAGGTGACAAAAGTTTGACAAACACAAAAAAATACATTTCATAGCTGCTGAGTTGAAGAGAGAGTGTTAACGTTTAAGTTTACTGAAAAAGAATACAATGTCTTTCACAATTGCTCAAAATGGCAACTAAGAGAAATGTTTGTCAGCCAAAGAAAAGTTTAGCTTTTGAAATCAACAAAAATGGCACATTTGAATTTCTTTGCTTTATGTTAGTTCACATTTACGAAACCCTGCTTGCATTACTTTTAAGGTAGTTCTACATGTTGATTATCTGGGTGGTTATTTCAGCCATGCTTGACATAGAGCTAGGAGGTGAGTTCACAAAGATTAAAGCAGCCTAGCAAGTACTTGTGGTAACAGCCCCTCTGTTTACACTGACCAGTTTCTAAATCGCACACATTGTTTCCTGTCTCCTGAGGAAGTTGCAGTGGTCGAGCTAGTGAGCCAAATGCAGAAATTGATGATTTCGTCAAGAGAAGCACAGCGAGTGACAGTGCTGTAGGGTAGTGACAAGTCATGTCTTAGTGTTTGACTTCAATGAGATGAAGCGTGTTCGTTTAGCTCTAGTTGTAGTAAAGGATGCTTTTTCTGAATGGCTACCTGAAAGGGTTCTGGATGACGATAGGTGCTTCAATTGAGCCGTGTTTGATTGATTGTAGTTAGTGTGAGACATAGCAAGTGTTGGATCTTCCTTCCTTCCTTCATTTGTCAGTCCCTCCCATGCCTCTCTCTACCGCCACTAATGCTTCTGCTGTGCTGTTGTTTGAGTACCCGTTTGTGGTGCCCAGCAGTGTTTTGCTCTACTACAAGTTCACCCGCTGTCCTCATGTCATCCTCGACCAGTTTGTGTGCATCGCCCAGGAGGACTACTGGAGAATCCTCAACCATGTGGAGAAGAACACGCACAAGGTGGAGGAGGAGGGAGAGATTGTGATGGTGAAGGAGCACCGGGAGCTTGACCGCAGCGGGACCAGAAAGGGACATATTGTCATCAAGGTCAGTGACTCTAAATGTTTAACTTAGGTGGTGTTCGATTTTTAGGGAACCGGAGTTAAAAAAAAAAAAAATGCTGCCAGAAAGCATTTTGCTGTTCTGCAACTCCTCCAGCCCCCAAAGGTTTCTGTTCTTTATCTGGCCTGGCCTCTGACAAAAATCAATAAAGAGACACTGTTTTCATCTCTACAAATTTCAAATCCATTTAGGATCGCATCAGGTTGAAACACAAGGTGAGGTTCGAGCAGTTTTTCCCCATGATCAAACTTTTGTTAGTGTACTTGACAATGAAATATGTTTAACCATGTTCAAGATAATATACTGGACTAGAAGAGACAGACGGCAGCAAGAGCCTGGGGGTTAATAAGAATGTAACACTAAGCTTGAACCAACTTTTCAAATCATTCTTATGCACATCAAAACGCTTCGGATTGATTTTGATACCACCTCATTATGAATCGATCATGTCCTTGCAGACAATATCTGGCAAAAACATCAATGCAGCTACTCTGTGAGTTTTCAGTGCATTGTTGAGAGGCACCGTTTCGACTATTAGTGTTTACCGGAGCATTTTCTTGTTCGCTACATTGCAAAGCGCTCCAAGGCCTTTTGATCTTCCTCCCCGAGCCTCCGGAGGCAGCCAGGTATTGATCCGATAATGGGCCTGAATGATTCTCTTGGCCACTGCTCCGAGGAAAGGCTGTTGTTTCCCAAAAAGCACATCCAGTGGAGATGAGTCAATTCACAAGTGTTAGCATTTCCGCTTCAGTTTTTGGCTTTTGTTCTTTTTGTGTCAGACAGAAATGGAGGCCTTTCTAGTTTCTGTTCCTTGTTATATGAATCGTTTCCCCCAGAAACCTCTGCTCCCATAACTTAAACAAACTTGCTGAAACCACAAGAGGCTTACACAACTTTTATGTGACTTGGACATTGTATAACTTCTGCCAGTGAATGAAATTAAAGGTCCTGACAAAGAAATAAAAAAACAGAAGATTTACTTTGATACAGATACATAAAATAGCTCCACGACAAAAGCTATTCTGTGTGCGTGTGCGTACCTGTGTGCGTGTCTGCATGCTTGTGGTTGCGTTTTGTATTTTACTGCACATGCCCCTTTTTTATTGATGGGGGACTGACAGCTCAGTTCAATAGCAGCATCTTTAAAGTTTATGTCCTTGTCATTTTTATGATTAATGTGGGCATAATATATGCAAATTGGTGTGTGAAAGTGTTCTTGTTCCTTCCTGCTTCAATGTATGTTTGTGTGCTTCTGCATGGGAACACTTGTGTAGTGTGTGTCTGTAGAGATTATGTGCTCCCCTGTGTCATTTCAGCTGTCTTCCATGGTAATATATGACTGTATGTTTTTTTTTATATATCATTTTGTGAAAGTGTGTGTATATTTTTCACCTCCAGGGAACCCCTGAGCGATTGATCATGCACCTGGTGGAGGAGCCTTCGGTGGTGGACCCCACCTACATCGAGGACTTCCTGCTGACCTACAGGACCTTCCTGTCAAATCCAATGGATGTCGGCAAGAAGCTGCTGGAGTGGTTCCAGGTGGACAGCCTGCGGGACACAGTGAGTATTTGTGTGTGTGTGTGTGTGTGTGTGTGTATAGGTGTGTGTGTTTGTGCGCGCGTGTGTGTGTGTGTGTGAAACCTTAGACATTAAAGGTCAAGTGGGATGGGGGAGGTTAAGGTGTTTTATGTTTGCAGCTTGTAATAATGGTCCTTATGCCCCTTTAAGCACTTGTAATGTTTTGTATTGATGCATGTTGATCAAAATTCCTGTGTTGTGCCCCTCACATGCCGCTCAATACAAGTTCTGCCAGCTCAGCTGTCCTTGAGCCGCAACAGCACCGATTTTTGTTCATACCTGACACTCCTGTTGTCCATAACTGTTTTAACCTAAGATTAGTCCTGTGCTGTCAATAGTCTTTATGTGGTTGTCGTTCAGGCTTATGATCTCCAGCTCCTTTAAACAGGTTCTAATCCTTTACAGAACAAGCTGATAGAAAGTCACAGGATGTAGAATAGAGGGGGAGAATGATGGTGTGAGAAATGAGAGAGTGGAAATGTACATTGATTGATCTGTGTTGATGTATCAATAGCTGCTCTGACCTTTCGCCAAGGTTGGACAAATGTTACACAAGAGTAATTTTTGCAGAAATATTTGTTTTGGGATGCCATTTACTTTTAGATTTTTATTCTAATGATCTTGGTGGTAAAAAAATCAGTCAACCGGCTATTGAAATGTTTCTCTACAGCACATGATAATTAAATAGCCCCCCTGCTGTTTTTCATGTCTTACTTGCTAGCTTACTTTCCTGGCCTTTACAGCAAATAAATACTGATCTATAACTGGAGTTTAAGCAAAAATCTGACCATTGAAGTTTCCTTTCAGGGGTTTTTACATTTTCTTTACAATAATTTAACACTATAAATATTTATTTCTTAATGTGTGCAGTTTAACATCACCATCACAGAGTGATTCAATAGTGCTGCCCTCATGTTGCTAACCAATTTAAAGTCTCCATGTGCAACTACCAGCTCCCAGAGCCCTGCTAGGTAGTTTAATATGAACTCTGACCTGCAACATTAGCATTCTGCAAGAGTTCAAAGTCAAAGCCGCTCATACTTAATAGTTTAAGAACCGGAGGACGGAGGAACTGTACAGCGGAATAAGTTTCTTATTGTTTCTCACAGGTTACAAGAATTGTGCTGCTTTGGGTCAACAACCACTTCAATGACTTTGAGGGTGACCCAGCCATGACTCACTTCCTGGAGGAATTTGAGAAACTTCTAGAAGTGACTGTAAGATCAATTGTCAATCGAAAATACTGCACCGCATTTCATTTTAAACTCATTGAATCTGTTATTGTATTTTACCAGTACTCATTTTAAACTGCTTAGTACATTTAAAGTTTAAGATTAAGAGTCCAACCTGTAGTGCATGTCTTGTCAGGAAAGTAGATTAAATCAAAAAATACATGTGTTCAATCATGTATCCTCTCATGTAGAAACAGCTGCTTTAAAATCAGTTTAAGCATTTACTCTCAGTTTTGGAGACAAAAAAGCCAATTTAAATGCGAGACTGTTGCGCCCAATCATGTTCTCATTTTTTTCCCCTCCTTGTCAGAAAATGAAGGGCCATTTGCGACTGCTGAACATAGCGTGTGCAGCCAAAGCTAAGTGGAGACAGATTACTCTGCAGAAGGCGTCCAGGGAGACGCCGCTGTACTTCAGCGTGCAGGGCGGCAGCGAGAGAGGATTCGGCGTCTTCGTTGAGTCAGTGGAACCGGGGAGCAAGGCCTCAGAGACGGGACTGAAGCGAGGAGATCAGGTGAGAACACAAAAATATGTTGTGGTAAAGTGCAAAGTTATATAGTTGGATATGGAACTTTTCTTGGTACTTTATTGAAATATTGACAGTTGTAAAAAAATAGCTGTTTAAAAATAATTTGTATTTTTTTATTAGAATTTTAAATAAGAATAAATGCATTAATAAAATATATGTTTAGCTTCAGGAACTCTAGTTTTTTTTTTGTTGCATCCCCTGATGTAAATGAGTCTACAATTAGATGGTTGGAATAAAATGCAACATGGCTCTGCATTGAACCACTTCTCTTCTAAATGGGGATGTAGTGCAAAAAATTTACATAATTAAATATTTCCCAGCAAGAGTGCAAAATAGTTTGACCACTTCTCAGAGACTTAAGATTGTATTGTCTCCTCTATAACCAACCGTGTGACGTTTGGTCAAAAGTCAGCAGTCTTATTTTTACCTCAGATGTGACGGTGTGGTTGAGCTGAGTCTACATCTGCATGTAGCTGTGCAGATGAATATTGAAGTTACAATCTACACACACAAGACCATTTATGACAAAGTATATTAGGCTCTTACAAATCTGTCAAACTTGAACCTCTAACATGTATCTTGTATCCTCAGATTAGTGCTCATGTGTTAAATGTGATGCTTCTTGACGTCATGATGTGTCCATCTTTGTCATGTTTAATATAGAATTACAAATATATGTGTGTAATGGTGATTTGAATCATCAATACAAATTAAGATATTTGGAAGAGGTTTGTTGAAGAGGTTCGACCAGGAACCTGTTGATTTTTATTTATAAATAAACCCTCCACTTTTCACCTGTATCTGCAGCACCAAATGAATCATGTTTTTGTGGTGGAGTGTCTGAATGTAAGAAACTCTTGAAGCTGGAGTTTACACAACAACGCTCCTGTCAAGGCCTTATTAAATATTATATTTTCCAGTCTTTTGACATAAAAAAAAAAACTCAGTAACTCGGCACCACCAAGGGTGTGGAAAAAAGGAAACGTACACAGAAAAAGGGAGGCTTACATACTCGAGAGTGCACATGAAATTAAACTTGGAGCACAGCAACATCTTTAAGATCACAGACATCACAAGGCTGGAGTTGATTTCTAAACTAACTTCATTCAGCAGCTCTGCTGGGCGATGAAGCTTGAAATGCCCAAAAATAGAAGAAAAGAACATTTTTTATTTGTGCGCTCCTGGAAGTCTAAAACTTTATGAGAGGGTCTACAAAATCTTTCAAAGATCGGCCTTGACTGTCCTTAAAAAATCGGAACCTTGAAACTCTTAATGCATAATTAAGAAGTTCAGGCATAGCTTGCTCGGAGGTTGACTTTGAAGTTTAGAACGGATGCTTCCTTTTATTGTGGCTTGCTTTTAACTACTGCAAACTAATGGCTCATATCTTCAAATGGTTACATGAAACACAAGTGTTCAAATGTTCAAAACTAACCAGCAGTCTCTCTGCTCTACACGCTTTCCTTGATATGTTATTTAAGCCCTGTTTTCACCAAGCGCTCCGGTTTGGGTCAGTACAGTTTGGTTACTGGTTGCTACGGTTATCCTGATCTTACTTGCAATTCCACAGCAAACGTTACCCTTTCTTGGCAGGCGGGTTTCAAGGGTTCGGGTATAGCCATGCCAGCTGCATCACTTACATGGTAGTGTGACATCATAGCAGCGCGACACAGTAAACAAAGAGCAACAATGGAGGTCCAGCATTTTGTGTTCTGCCATCTTCGCACTTGGCTGTACATCAGAAGAACAAGACAATCTATTTGTGAGAGGAGGCTGCTGAAAGAGAGGACTGAAATCACATCGTCCCCACCAAACACTAATTAACTGAAGATGTGTAAAGTCAAGAGAGTCAAGAAAAATATGATCACAGATGAACAGAAAACAACTAATGTGTTTCAGATCTTAGTAAAGGGTGATAAACTTGTTTTTTCACTCAAGATAATAACCATGAAGAGTCCCTGTCTCACTCTTCGTGTCAATTTTTGTATTAGTTATGATGTTCCGCTAAGATGTTGTCATTTCGTCCGTCTTGTTTCAGATCATGGAGATCAACGGTCAAAACTTTGAGAACATTTCTATCACCAAAGCTGTCGACATTCTCAGAAACAACACACACCTCTCTCTCACCGTCAAGACCAACATATTTGGTGAGTAAAGTGAGAATATTTGAACTTGCATGCTTACACACAAAGAGCATGACCAATCCTCCGCTTCTTTTCTCCGCTCTCTTCACCCGACTAGTCTTCAAAGAGCTCCTCAGCAGGATCGTGCACGAGAAGAAGAACGGCGGCCCTCACATTCCCAAGATCCAGGAGAAAAAAGGCAACCGCTTCTCCATTCCCGACCTTCCCGGAGACATGGAGTTCCCTACGGACCACAAGAGCACCAGGAAAATGAAAGCAAACACCGTGTCAGGGGGACGGAACAAGATCCGGAAGATGCTGGAGAAGACGCGCTTCAGCATACTGCCGCCAAAACCGTTCAGGTAAGAGTGTTTAAGTAAACTCTGCTCTCTGTGTGGTTCTGAAATTGATTCAAAAAAAGCTATTTTTAAGTATAAATTGCAATAAGAAGGAACTCAATTCTTTCATAGGGAAGTAATCCTGAAAAAAGGGTACTATTGTTGTAGTTCTTAGTAAAGACACATGGCATGATTACGCCAACTTAAGAGACAGCAGCAACAATGGAGTTTTTTTTTTCGACTTTTCATCAAATGAAGATTTGAAAACTCGGCTATATACTCAGCACTATGCAGTGTAGTGAATTGTATCTCATTGTTCAGCTGAGTGTCAAGTTTGCGGGCTACTGTTCACTCTCATCACTGTCATAGTGTCTTCAGCTACAGCAGACATTTGAAAAGCTATAAAAAACAACTGCTCATTTCCTACTCAGGCTGTTACTGAAGACAAGTAAAGCTGGTTATATAGAGAAGCATTTAGAAGCTAAAGATAAATGTCTAAAAGGTCAGTGGAGACCACAACAGAGAAAAAAAACAAAAAAAAAAAGCTAAATAGTGGACCAATGATCTCCTGGCGGCCAGAAACATCAGCTTGATCGAATGGCCATTTTTAAACTTCACTTACATTGTGTTGCCCCCAACTTGCAAAAATATGATTTTTTTTTTCTAAAGAAAAAGTTTGTGGTTCAGATGGATTCAGCCTCTGTCAGTAAAATGATTTCATCTGCCCACAATCCTCTCTGACTTTATCTGTTTGCTTTCCCTGCATCACATTTGTAGCAAGCTGTGACCCTCTGCAGACAGCAAATATTGGAGGCTTGAGCAGAAATCTAAGCTGATAGCTTTTTTTTTTTTTGACCACGTTCAACCATTTATAACGCCAAAGAAATTGATAGAAAAAAAGCTGATTTCAGCCTTCTCTTGGAGCTGGTATGAGCAGGAAAAGGAGCGATTTTAACAAACTTTGGATACAAAGCTTACCTGAGGTGAAGAGCAATAAGTAACAGCATACAAGTGCATCCTATTTCTATCAGTGGTCACAGGAACATTGCTCTAAGATTGCAGTGTTCACTTTTAGCACTTTATTTACTCGTACTTGTGTGGATGCAGAAGTCGTTCTACTCTCTAACTTGTTTTAGCTGCTGTAATGTCTCGAGAAACATAAAAAGGCATCGTCATCATCATCATCATCACATAATTATTGTCGTTGTCATCCATAACCATCCATTGTACTCGCAGCATCTGGAGCAATCTAAAGCAATTGTGCAGATGGGCGCTCACATTCAATATTCCAGCCGTAACGTGCTGATACAGGCTTGATTTCATTTCATCATTTCATGCCTCTCCAGGCCTCATTAAACTCTGCACTGTGTCGGTGTGTGCGCGAGAAGACACTGTTCTGGTAGTGTTAATTACAGAGCTAACCATCAGCAACATACTCACACGCCGTTAACTCACACACACACACACACACACGCACACACATACACACACTCGCACAGACGATGTCACGTGTATCTGTGCCCCTCACTTTCCTCTCCCGCCGTCTCCATTCGATCAGTTTCCAGCGCTGCAGTGATTACGTTCAAAAAGCTTCACAGTTTGCATGAACACTGTCTGGTCTCTGAATCGTAGCGCAACACGCTATCACACGGCCATTGATCGGACTCGATGCGCAGCTTCCAAAGGCTCTCTGCTGCTTGCTATTTATCAACCAAACAAGGGCTTTCATTGCTTTTTAATCTGCTCGTCGGCAGCTTTCAGACCAGTCTTTGGTTCAAAGGAGTTGATGGATGATTAAAGGGACTAAATCTGAGGAGAGAGATGAGAGGGTTGGTTTGGGTCTATCAGGATTCATCGGTGCATGAAGCTATGACAAGAGCAACAGAGTAAACTTGCCTACAAGGAGTATATGTGCTTGTATATTAAAGAAACAGAAGCACTTTGGATAATTGAAGATATCGTGCAGTTTTAAGTACACCCACACATACTTACATACACACACTGATCTCATTGCAAGTTTAGCAATCCACTGTGGCTATGGTCTGTCTCACAAAAGGCTAAATTTTCAAAGCTTTTGGCTGTAGATATTAAAATACCTGGCAATTTAATTTAAGCCAGATAATCTTGTTAAACTATTTAAATCGTGTTCACTTCCTCTTACTCGGTGTCACTACGGCTGCTGTTGCTGCTGCTTCTTCTCTCTCCTTTCTTGGCTGACATTGTGCTCCACTTCTGACAAAGATTTTATACGACAAGGACACACTGGCAATAAACCACTCGTTTTTCTTCCAAATCAAGATGCCCGGTGCATGCACATGCACCTTTAAACACATCCCATATTGACCAGGCATGCTGATTTACTGTCTTCAGAGTGGAAAGCAATAGACAGGGAGCTTCAGCCTTTAGTCGGCTTATCTTAAAAGTCCAGATGATTTAGTGAGGTGACGATAAAGTAGTTACTGAATAAAAACTAATTACTTAAATATTGTGTCATTGAGTGTTTGTACATCCCAACTGTAACTCTACAAGACGTCCTTTTTTTTACTGTACATGCATACGTTGTATGTACAATGGAATCAAAGACGCTTTTTGTGTTTGTGTGTGTGTTTGTGTCTGTGCACTGTTCTGTGCACCTTACACCTTTATAACTCTATGCAAATAAAAGCTATTTCAGAACTGTAATATTGAGTCCTTTTTGGTAAAGCTTTTAGAACACTTAAAACAGGGATGACAGCTGAAAGAATTTATGTTCTTGCATATTTAATTTGAAGATTGTCTCTGTCTTTGAACTCTTCTGAAAATACAATCCTCGTATGCGCTCTGCTCATTTCTGACAGCTGCAGGTGGCTGGTCGAAAGGTCACAAAGTCTACTTTGCCCTCTGTGTGAATCTATGTTTTCTTTATGAAACCGCTTTGGCATTTCCTGCTTATTTCCCATTGTGTCTAAACTTTACCTGTAGTATAGTGTTGTCAACATACACGTGTGTTGCTCTGCTGCACTTGTATCGCTGCTGAATCACCTCTGCAGAGCGCTGCTTTTGTTTTATTACTTTTTCTTTTTTCTTTTCACGCTTTTCAATGTTGTTTCTCCTCCTGTTTGTCTCTGCTGCTTCAGGGGCCTGTTTGGGTAAGTTGTTTTTTCGAGGGCCTCTTGTGTAACATCACATCCTTAAACCATTTAATTCAGTCTCCATCTGCAGACCTGCACACAGCAGGCGGCTCAACACTCTCTCTCTCACACACACACGCACACATCATAGACACTGACCTTCAAGAACATTACTAGAGGACTGCAATTATAGATTTCATGCAAATGCCTTTGAATACATGAATCTCACTTTTTGTCCCCCAGAGTCAAGGAGACGTCTTTGCTTATTTCCACATTACAACTCTCCGACTTTATTTTGTTGAGCACTACTTTCTGGGGTTCATCTTAAATGTTCCGTTAATACTAATGAATTTCCAATGGGCAATTGGGGTTGAAACTAAAAGAGTTGTATAAATAAAGTAGAAATAATGATGTCTTTACTGGTAACGGTCATTGCGTGATTATTATAAGACATGTATGGCAGGTTTTTTGAGTTTACAATGTCAGACCCAGCTTTCCTTATCCGTCTCAATTTCATTATTATCCTCTTTCTAAACCGCCTTTATCTTTTTCCCTCCTTTTCCACCACCATCCATGTTATAGATCGCCTCTATTTATTGTCTCGCTTCTTTTTTTTCATGTCTTTCCTTTTTCTTTTTCCACCTTTTTTCTTTTTCTCTCTCGCGTCTCGTTGCTGCAGTATACTATCAAACGGTGACTGGAAGATTACAGAGGCTTTGCTACAGCAGCACTCAGCTGTGTTAGTGGAAGCCCTGCATTACTGCACTGTGTTCAGCGCACACTGTATAGATATATACACAGAAACCCGACACCTAGAGGGAAGCTGCACTTAGTATGCAGGAAGGAAGAGATGAACTGTCTGTCTGAGACACTCAATTACAGAGTGCGACTCACACTATCCACGACAGCATATCCAAACACGTGCAATGCATGTTTAACATGAGTCAATCTCTGAAGAATCTCAGTAGATCAAACTGCTTCTATTGTCTTTTTATTATACTAAAGAATATTCAGTCTGATATATTATTAGTGAACCTACTTTCAACTCAAATTTAGATACTGTTTAAGATCTTCATAGTGTCAGATTGACTGCATTTAGCAGATTTTGAATGCTAGGTACCAACTTATAAGGATCCTTGTCAGACATTTGTATTTGATTATATTATAAGAGAGTATTTTTATATGCCAGGAAGCTCTTTAGAAATTCATAGTGCTAGATAATTCAGGTCAAACACTGTTGTTACATCATGCTTAAATACTTTGGCCAGTATGACTGAAATAATCTAAATAAGTTTTAGCTGATTAGTGTGTTGAAAGAAAAAGAATCAGCCACCATTGAAACACCCCACTACTCTGACAGACAGATAATAATGTTGCATCATATGTAATATCCCAAAGCTCTATAGTGAACCATCCCTACAGGAGCCAGCCTGGCTTTCCATGAGTTTGTCTCATGATATTTGAACATGTCCATCACATGTATGCAAACATGTGCCGACTAATGAGGTCGGTAATGTAAAAGGTTGATGTTTGCATATCCCTGACGCTCCTGAGGCAGACTGGTTAAAAGGTGCCCGTCTCTCCAGTCACATAATGTGGACAATTGCTGGACACACAGACACACACACACACACACACACACACACACACACACACACACACTCATGTGAACAGAAGGTTTACACCCCAACACCAACAGATCTATTCAACAGTTAAGAACAAAATGTACAAACTTGTACAAAAACACCTGTAGAGACCTGCTTCACATCTCATCATCTATCATTTCTTCTCATACGTGCTTTGCTGTTGCAATGCTGGTTGTTTGTGTCTCTGTTACCTTGTTTGTCCCAGTCTCTTTGTCTCTTTGTCTCTTTGTCTCTTTGTCTGGTGTTGTGTGTTTGTGTTTGTCTGTTGGCGAATTTGTGTATCTGAGAATAAACGTTATCAGTTCCTGCCATTCATGAATGAATTTCAGCTGTGTCACTGCTGCTTATTAAAAGACAAATGCAGTGATTTTTTATTGTGTGTTGTCATTCTGCTAGAAAACATGATTGTATCTCCTTATGTTTTTTTTTCCTGCAGTGTTATGAGTTGTGATTCTTATGTGCTCTCAAGATAAATGGGAAAGCATTTATTATAATACTTGTGCTTAAAACTCAAAACTCAGCAAAGAAAAAAAGCACTGAAGTTATTTTTAAACGTCTACTGATTCAATTTTGAAGTCTCAAGTTTCATTTAGGACCATAAAAACATTTTTGAAGGACAAAATCTAATATTTTTGTTTTTCTGCTTCTCTCTTTCCTTTCTTTTTTTTCCTCACCTTTTTTGCTTTTTAAAACCCTTCCTCCCACCTTCACGCCCCTCTCTTCCTCTTCCCTTGTTTCCCTACTTTCCTCTCTAGTGATGGTGGGATGGGTCAGTCTCAGGACGACAGCATTGTGGGTACCAAGCAGTGTCGTCACAGCGTGGCCATCATGCCGATCCCCGGTAACCTGTCATCCAGCAGCCCCGACCTGCTGCAGCCGGCCACCAGCGTCCTCGACTTCTCCAACCCTGCAGGTCAGAACACTCAGTGACGCAATAATAGTCCGCTTTTTTTTTATTTTTCTATTCTTCTGTTCAGTTTTCTCTCATTATAGACAAGAATGTCACCAAACCTTAATGTTTCATAATATATAGATCGACATATCAGCAGCACTGAATTGATTCGGGTTTCTTTTTTAATTAAGTTTTTCTATTTGCTGTTGCTTGTAAAAGTCAATAAACCTTGAATGTGAGACAAGTGACCAGACCAGAGCAAATTCATGGAAAGAAGCTTGACATCATCAAAGCACTTTTAAGACAAAAATGTAATTTCTAAAATCATCCATATCCTATATATTTCTATTCATATTTGTGTGCCTAACACCTTCAAATCCTTTATTTTAAAGGAAAGCAACACTTTTATTACAGCTTAGCCCTTCATGGGCTCATTTCAGGTATGTCAAACAAATCATTGCTTCTTTCCTGAAGCTGTTTGTCACACTTGACTTGAGACCTCAGCCTCATTGAACGGTGAAAGCCACTTGTGTGGTGAAGGACTCAGACGCTCAGAGACGCAGTGCAGACCGCCTTTCACTGTGGAAAATAATCACACAAAGCACACATGAGAAGTGTCATCCCTTTCTATTTTTCTCTCCATGAAATGCAGCAAACTTCTCAGCAACACTTATGATCACTTATGCTGACAAAAGAACCCACATTAACTCCCTCAGAGCAAACACCACAAGGGTAGGTGTGCACAAATGTTCACACACACGAACAGCTGGTGGAGCTTTCCACATAGTTCCACATAGCTGTTGCAGAATTGTGTCCATCGTTCAAAATTAACCTCCTGGACAAAAAAACAGACATTTATTTCCTGTTATGAAATGTGTCGCTGCACATATAATCATTTTAACTAAGAGCGGGCTCTTAGTGTGTGTGATTTGTGTGTTAGTGAGTATGAAATATTGAGAGGAGAGAACAAGAGGGAGAAGTAGAAAGGTGAGAGAGAGCGAAAGAGTGAATATGGTCTTGATTTATTCCACCGCCCATTCATCAACGAGCTACACACACACCCACACACACACACCTGCATGTAGTTTGTAGACCTATACATCTCATATGGTTGTGTTGTACCTAGAAACACACACACACACACCCAGTGGGCCTCATTAATCATCTGCCATTAGATGGAGTTTCCTTTAGTCCCCTGGCCTCCCATTAGATTTAATAGTAGAGGGAGAACAGCCCGCTTAAACCAAACTGTGTTCCAGATGCGCCGCAGGGCTTGAAATACTTCCAAAGTCCCACCTTTAATTACATTAGTGATCAGAAGCTGATGCATCACCTTTCTACTGTTGAAAGAGGGATGCATGGACAACATTTCTACCAATGGTGTTGGATATTTGAAGTCTTTTAACACTTATTTTATTTGTATTTTAGTTGGTCAGGACAGGACAGGAAAGCAGGTTGTTTTCAATCTAGCCTATTTTTTAAGGATGAAAACTTTAAGATTTTTAATCTGATTTCAGGGCGTTCTTTGAGTACTCTAATGTTGTAGGTTCATTACCCATCATCCTTGGTGTCTTTCTTGGTAAAGACAACCTCCAAAAATAGTTCTTTTGTCGTCTAACTGAGGCTTAGGTATAGAAATGTTCCCGGTTAAAAACGTATAACTGATTAAATTAAGCAATTTTAACTTTGATTCTTTTCCAACATAATGTGAAAAGTCAATATTATTGCGAGTATATACTGTATGTTCGTACCAAACCAGGAATAAACAGATTCATAATACAGAGTAGAGCACATTAGAATAAATATATAAATCAAAGACAAGCAATAAGCAACATTTGCTATTTTTAGCTTCCCGAATGTGTCATTCTGCTGTCTCTCTCTTTTCTGCTGCTCTTCAGACTGATTATCCTTGAGTTAAATTACAGACTTTGAAACCCACTTGAGGCAAATAACTCTGGTTAGTGATTTTGTATACAAATCAAAATGCATTGACTTGTTAGGCTGCGATGTGAGAATGTCCCATGAGACTTTAGTTCACTCTCCCCCCAGAATGTCAAAGACTAAACTATTATTCAACTCTAGTAAAGAAACAGAGGATAATAACAAATGGAAATACTTGTCAGTTGTTGTAGCACATATCAGGACCAGACATTACACATCGTGTGACAGGGGAACTTTAATGTCAGTGATGCAAACGACTAAATCTGAAACAGTTAAGAGGATCAAAGCTCTGTGTTGTCATTTTTGGTTCCCTTAGGCAGAGTAGAAGTGTCCGTATCTCTAAGAGTGAAGTTGTGTTCTCAAATCCTCTGTTTCTACTTTTGTCTCTATGTCTATTCGTCTTTTCTCCTCTCCCACTGCACCGCTCTCTCCTCTTGCTACTCTTTGCAGTGATTTTAAACAGATGTTTCAGTGTGGACATGATGAGTCATACTCATACCCTCCATGGTTTCACATTCACAGATTAAGGCTACAGAAGAAACTCAGCTGGTCTTCCCTCTTCTTTTTTCTCTCTCTCTCTCTGTCATGATGTTTCCAACCACTATTACTCACTTGACTCCTCCCTGACTTTCTCTTCCTTTCTGTCATACTCACTGTGTTTTTCTTTTCTCCTCTCTGCTTGCACAGCCCTGGGACTCTACTGTAAGTATACATACCTTCAAAGCCACTGTTTGGTTGTGCTTCAGTAAACACTCCTCCCTTAAGTTTCCCTTCACACCTGTGCTTTCATTCCTCTTTTTTATTTTGAACTTTTCCACAAATACTTGCATCTGTTAACCCCATCCTCCAAGCTGTTGTTTTGGGCCTTGTTCTGTGCTTATAACTCACACCTTGGGACAATGTATGATAATCGTTCTAGAGGCTGTTTCACTTTTCAAGGGGGGCACTTGAGCATTGAAGTTTTTATGTTCATCATTTTCACTTAAAGAACGATGCAGTTTGGTTCTCTGAAGAAATCCATTGGGACTCAACGTATAACCATTTAATGAAAGGGATTTATTGTTTCATGTGTTACCAAACAGTAGAGCTGCTTCGGTAGGGAGAATTTAAGATGTGGCTATGTCATCAGTCACATTGTGTTGTCCTATTCCTGCAATGCAATCAACATAAAATATACTTTTATTCATTATGTAGTATTTATTTTTGGAAGGAACTGTAGAAATCAAGTAAGCCAAAGCCACACATTACAACATTTATATGCTAAGCTAATTGGCCCTGCCCGTCCCACAGATAATAGATAATTCACAAACAACATCAGAGCGGATTTAAACATTTAGAAATGATTTTCTTACAGCCCCTCCATTTTTGTTGTTAACAGCTTGTTTGCATAAAGGAGTCGCATCACTGCACAAGAGGGTCTTGCTGTCTGACACAATACAAGAGAATCAGCTTTTATTAGCCATGTATGCTCACAAACACAAGAGATTTGACTTTGGTGAACTGTGCTCTCAAAGTACAAAAAGTACAACATTAAATATAAACACAACATAAGCAGAGACTAATATCTACACAGACATTGAACAACAATCCATATTCGCTTCCAGCTAAAGTCTCCCGTATAACAAAAATAAACTTGAGAACACATCCTGTTCTGAACTTTATTGTGTTGAACAAGCAAAGTAACAAATATTTCACCCTGGAAAAACAGCCCTGCTGTCATCAGTTTGTAGGATCGACCCTCATTTTACATCAGCAGCACTAGTTATTTACTTTGTCTATCATTCCCCTGCTGCAGGCACCAGAGTTAAGCCTGCAGGCTGCTGTCAAACGTATCCACCAACATGCCCCTCCAGTCTCTGAGATAAAAAATACTTCATATGGTTCTATGATTATTTTTGAATAGTTTTTAAAACAGAGACCCACCTTAACCAAAGACACATAAAGTAAGTTGCATCAAGCTCGATTGCAGTGACATCACAAGTTATTAAGAATAAGTCATTGTTGGTTTAAGCTCTTCATGGAGGTGATGATTAAAACAGAGGACTGGGATAACTTGAATGTGTAAGAATAACGTCCTTCCATAAAGTGCATTAGGTATGTTTATTTCCATTTGTTTAACCCCAGCTTCTCTACTGCACTCTCCTCCCACCACCTCCAGCCATCATGCCCGGCCCTCCTTTGCTCTGTGTGCTTTCACAGATGATTTATTTCTTGTGACTGTATGAGAGGGTGAATTAGAAAAGCTTTGGCAAACAGCAGAGGAGGAGGAGGAGGCTAAGGTTGTGTGTAGCTTCACTTAGCGCTGTGTTTGCAAAAAAAATCCCAACACTTTTTTTTTCCTCCATGTAAAAACCTATTTGGCTTCAGTCCAAGAATAAATCTTCTGGTGTTGATGAAAATGAATGATACCTTATTAAAGGTGATAATTAATTGCATGTTTGGCTGGATGGGCAGCGATTGTTCTCCTGTGTGCAGGTCAGGTCGCAGCTCATCCAGTGGATTAAACCTGATTAATACCCCCGGGTATGATAGCCAGCTATTTAGCAGAGAGCTTCCCACACTTAAAATCACAAATCACAGGTAATGAGACACACAGCATTTAGTTTCCACTCAGCCCAGCCTTACCACGCTGCCGTACACAAACAGAAAAGGGGATCTGGTGCTGCTGCAACAACGCCGGAAACATGATGCAAGCTCTGTGCTTGTGATTCTGGGGATTAATGTTTCTGCAAATAGTCCTTCTCCAGTCTAAAAGTCAGTAATCATTTGACTGACATATAAAGTGTCATGTGATTAAAATCAATAAGCACACAGTCCTAGGTCCATAGAGAGGTCATTTATAGCAAAGGCTGGCCTCATACATCAAAACATCAATACTCCATGAACTATTTAATCTGTGGTAGGCAACTTTAAAGAAAACCAGCAACAGTAAGCAAGATAATGAAAGTATCAGACTGAAAAAATCCAGCCTTCACTCCTCCCTCTAAAGCAGCTTCCCTAAACCATAGTAATACAACTGGAGTAAGAGAAAGAGGACCGGGTGCATAAACAAAGTAGAGAAAAAGACTCCATGAAAAGAAACAGAGAGCAAAAACAACTGATGCTACTTCCCTCAAAAAATCCTCACATCATTTTCATTCATCCATCTCAGATATTGAAATGACAATTAATCCTGAATACAGACCAGCAGGCTGTTCAGACAAACAGAGCTGGTTGATTATCAGCAATCACTCTGACGTTATTGTTATTGGCTTTGGTTTCAGCAATTTGTTTGTTGAAGCTGTAATGATGACGATGATTGTAAAGCTGCCCCAGCTATTGACAGCTACACACTCACAAAGACAACCACGTGTACACCTAAACACATACACACATAAAGATACCCAACGTCACACACAGAAAATAAATATGTATGCTTATAAATGTGTCGGTAATGACTTTATGCCTGAGCACATTTCATTCTTCTCTGCTTGGTAACCAAGAAGAAGCAGTGTGTGTGTGTGTGTTTGTTTGTGTGTTTTTGTGTACATTTGCATGAGCACGAACTCATCAGTCAGACGAACCATGTCTTGTTCTCTAGATGATCTGTTCGTGATTTCCCTCCATTTCTATATGATGGAGCTCTCTGGCTGTGTGTGGCTAATGGGCCATAGCCTCCTCTCTTACTCAAACACGAGGATCTCTAATGCAGTATCTCACTCAGGGGGAGCACTTCTATTATTTAACACACATCTCACCGTGCGAGTCACATGCAGCTGCTCCAACATCAACTGCACTAGAACATTGACGTCTCTATTGTAGCCTCTTACTATTAAATATTGTCTTTAATCCGTTAAATAAGAACTCACTCATTTAACCCCGAGAAGAGTCACCGTGGAAGATGAGGCAGTTTTACTGTATTTGTTTTTTTAATGATTCAAATATGCATCCATAACTTTTAAATGAAATGTTACATAATGTGACCAAGCAAATGATTCAAATTTGAATTATTAATGAAGTTTATTTAGTTTCATTGTATTTAAATCTAAATCTGCCGCTGTTTGATAATCTAAATAATCTTTAAATTGTAGCTTTTATTCAACCTTTTTCTGGGTTTTTCCTGTAATGTTGTGTCTGATCAGTTAACAGAAAAAAATAAATAATTAAAGTGAGAAATGATTATGACATCCAGGCCTGATGTTACTCTAACTGTCCAAACCCCTCGTGCATGTGCAGCATGTGACTCCCGCTGCCTCTCCCATTGTCATGCAATCCTTGGCACACATGTCCTTGCCGCCTGTGGTGTACTTTACATGTTTGCTATGAGTGATGAGTCACCTGTGATGTCCTTGGACATGTCATGTGAACATTGGCAAAATCTATTTTTTGATTCAGTACAGTACAGCAAAGTGCAGTCTGTGTATGATTTTCTTTGTGCTCACCTGTCTTTGGTCGTCTGATAACATTATCGTCTCTCACATAAAAAGTGAAATGAATGAGATAAAGATAATTGTAAATATGTAGAGATGTTGGATTTGGAAGAACATTTTTCTTGCAGCTATTTGTGGAATCAAGCGAGTCCATTTTGAAATTGGTTTCATAGATAAGCTGAGAGTTTCTAGAAACAGCCATACTGGTGAAAAAATGGTAGGAATTTAGAATAATGAATCAATGTTATTGATCAATGTGTTTTATTTAATTTTAACGTTAATATTCTTAAACACCAGAAACCATTGTGACCCAGTGTGACCCTTGGCTCACGTTAATTTAGACATTTAGGTAGAAAGAAGTCAGGTCAGCAGGGTTTCTCAGAGCATTATGTTTTTTCACCATACTTTCTCAATGATGTCATTATAAAGTACTGTACTATATAGTACTGCTGCAGACCTCAATACCTAATGTTTCCGAAGGATCACATGATTGGTGCACTACTGAAGATAAATGCTGTAATTCTTGCTTTCAGATTAACTGTTTCACTGTTTCAACGACTCCATTACATTGATTTTTATTGCATTATTGGCATCCACGTACTGCAGCCATTTACTCAGTGAACCCTAATGAGTTACTGACAGCTCCACTCTTTTCTTTCTCCTCCACTCCCAGACATCCCCGACCAGGTGATCCGGGTGTTCAAGGCTGATCAGCAGAGCTGCTACATCATCATCAGCAAGGACACTACAGCCAAGGATGTGGTCGCCCACACTGTCAATGAGTTCGGCCTCATCGCTGCACCTGAGACGTACTCCCTGTGTGAGGTGTCAGTCAGCCCCGAAGGAGTCATAAAACAACGCCGCCTTCCCGACCAGCTCTCCAAACTGGCTGATCGGATTCAGCTCAACGGCAGGTAAGAGACTTAAGAATCACACCTGTGTCGTATATGGATCAATACCAAGGAATTAAAACGCTTTCTGTACTTTTAAGGATTTCAAGATTCACCCCCCTTAGCTCAAAATAATGTGGTCCCAAATGTCACAGGTTTGAGTTTTTCTGTTACTGCAACTTACATTACCCAAGGAGTCATAGAAGAATACTTCAATGAACCATGAAGCAACCCTATTCCATGTTCAGGGAGCATACTTTTCATAAAAAAGGGATGCACAGTGGAAATCTTTGGGAGAAAGCAGCTAGAAATGGAAAGCAGAATTTAAGATCTGCTGTAGACCTATTTCTGATTAAAGCTTGAACGACTAAACCAGAGCTGTGACCAACAGTTCTTGGACTGAAAGACATGGAAGGCTTTCCTTCCTTTTCAATTTTATTCCATCTCTGGGTTTCTTCATACTATTCAAGGCCATACAGTGCTCAGGATTTTGTACAACTCCTGTGAGCATTGCTCTGTGGATGGATTTTCAGCCATATAGTGTGCTGCATAAGAATTGAATCCTTTTCCACATCAGTACTAGAAAAGATGCTCCATACCTCATATCACAGTTTGAACCCAACTCGTCATGGACAACATATCTAAATTTATTAAATCCCCAAGAGAAGGGGGGTAGTCTTCAGTGTTGTATTACTTTTACTTTGCCTTTCTAAGGTATTAAGATGTTTCTGATTAGGTGGATCAAAGTAGCCGGGCTGCAGAGAGTATGAAGCAGGATTCAGGACTGTAGTCTAGTTCAGTGTAAACAAATCAAGCAGTGTTAACCTTAAAAAAGGATAGGAAAAATGTTTAGATGTTATTCAGAGCAGAACACAAGCTGTTAGCCTTTCTGTGATATTTTGTCTGACTCCTTTGCACCAAATCACCATTATAAGCCTTTTTGTTATAGATTTCTGGAAGTAGCAGACACCTTGTTAGGCTGTCAGTGATATCCTATTTAGAGATAAAGGTTTGTAGGACATGAAGGAGAAATTGACTGCAACCACAAAGTCTGCTTTAAAACAGCCGTTCTGTCGGTTTTTCAGTTTATTTTTTATTTTTTTGCCCTCTCTCCCGGTCTCCTGTGGTCCCTCATCAGTCCCCTCCCAACTAGGTTAGCATGAATATTTCATCCTCTGTCAGGGGCGGAGGCCTCAGCAGACAGCATGGCAATGTCTGGAATTATTCATACGCACACTCACATGCACACACAGGCACGCACATGAGATATATAGATACAGACGGTCTCCTTCTTATACACGGTCACACATTGCTCACAGACTGTATAGACATGTATAGACTCACTCTGTTCACTGATTCTGTGCACATTAATCCACACACATTTTTTTACCAAGAAAGTCTAAATGAACACACACTCATTCCTTGTCTGTGTTTTTGATGGATGAAGGAGCTGTATGGGAAAAAAATTGGTATTCTCTTGTGGGATAGTGGGTTGGTTAAGCTGTTGAGGTGTGAGCAAGCATCTTTAGAAGGCTCCTCTTTGTCTCCATACATTTCTATTGTATGGATGTATACATCACTACAAATCACTTGTCTGTGCAGACAGTTTATTTGGTTGACCATTATCCTGACAACCATTTTATCGACACACTCTGTATGGATATGTATATAAAGTATCCTGCCTCCCCCTCCCCCTCCCCATCTCTGTGCTGCTGAAAATTGACAAAGGTCATAAAGGAGACAAGAAAGCCAAAAAGCAAGCCTTGATCACACTCATAAAATACGTACAGTCAGGATCTACTACGCTTCATAAACCCACACAACCCACTCAAGGCTATTATCAATGGCTTAGTTCCAGTAAATGATTGGTAGTTTGCTCTATTTAGCACCACTATGTTCATCATTAGTTCAGTCTCTACTCCTATTATAAGAGATTATTTGTGGTTCTGTTTGAGTCATGAGCCCACAGTTTTTAACTGTAATTTTAATTTCCTTTAAGGATTGGTCAAATGCTTCCTCCCCTCTTCTCTCGTCTCTTCATTTCTCTTCTCCTTTCCTCTTCTCTGTTTCAGACTCCACTTCTTTTGTCTGTTTCTCTTCCTCTTCTCTTGCTTTCATTACTGTTCTCTCTCCTTCTCTCATCAATTGTTCTCTGTCCTCTGGTCTGTTCTCGTCTTGATTCTCATTTCTCTGCTCTCATCTCGTCTGCTCTTGTTTACCTTTGTTTTCGCTACCCTCCTCTGCTCTCATCAGCTCACCTTATCTCTTGTCTACTCTCCTCTGATCTCTTTTTTTTGTCCACCCTGCTTTCATCCCCTCTCTTCTTATCTTACCCCTTCTCCCATCAGTACTTCTCGATTAATGATAATGAAACAGGATCTCAGCAAGTCCCAAACTCATTTCAGCCTTGAACAAATGTGTAGGTTGTGTTTTGTTCACTGGAAATCTTCTGTTTTATCTTAAATCTAATGTAACTAGTACTTCTCATCAAACGTCTTCGCTTGGTAGTTGCTCCTCTCACCAGAGTAGCCGTTAGCAATTTAGAGTCACATCCATGCTAACACTTTGCCCTTGAGTGCTGTTGTCCTGCAAGGCGCTAAGGTGCTTCATCGGTAGACGACCACATTACAGCTCCATTAGAGAGCAAGTGGTGAGAGGAGGGATATTAGATTTATAAACACAGAAGCACATAACAAGGTAAAAAAGAGACATCCTGCTGCTGGAAGCTCTCCCAGAAAATGTTGGAGATCAAGTCTAAAGAAAAATGGCTTCTTTTCCCCCCCTCTTACTCATGCACTTTCCATTTTTCTCACCTCCCTTTTTGCTGAGAGACCCTCTTTCCTTTTGGACCCCAGGGTCAAATATTGATGTGATCTATCAATTTTTTCCCTGCGCCCAAACACATCTTCTGAAAATGTTCCTCTTTAAAATTAAATGTGATAAATATTCAAGGGATTTATCCTGAACATTTTAACAAGTGCAAGAAGTTCAAGCTGGCTGATTTAAAAAAAAGTATGTTACACTGTGCATATAGTGTCTTCTTTGTTCTTATTGACAGTATTGTTTTAACCCCGGCAGCTTTCATATGACAATTAGTCCATTTCTTTTGTGATCTGAAGGATTTCTGTCACTCAAAACATGTGACCAAAGACGACTACAAAAATGATGATGTAAAAAACGTGACAGATCTCTTGTTCCTTAATGTATTGCAGTAGGTTGTGATTAAATGTGTCTGACTCAACAGCAGGATCAGCAAAAGTGTAAATGAGCAAACAATTTCTGATTAGCTGAAACAAGAGCCCAGTGAAAAACTCAGAAATGATTAGTTTTTTAAGTTTACGGCAATCTTTCAGCTATCACAGTTGGTCCTCTTTGCCTCTGCTCTCCCCTCTTTAGGTACTACCTGAAGAACAACATGGAGACTGAGACGTTGTGTTCAGACGATGATGCTCAGGATCTCCTCAGAGAGAGTCAGATCACTCTGCTGCAGCTCAGCACCATGGAGGTTGCCGCCCAGCTCTCCATGAGAGACTTTGAGCTCTTCAGGAACATCGAGTCCACAGAGTATGTCACTTCTAACATTTTTATTGACATGTAGACCTGATGTAGAAGTTTAAAGAGTTACTATCTGGAGAAGTCCGTTAACATTACTTTCCTGACTTGTTCCCCAGGTACGTGGATGACTTGTTTAAACTAGACCCTTCCATGGTGAGTGGTAATCTGAAACAGTTTGAAGAGGTGATAAACCAGGAGACCTTCTGGGTCGCTACAGAGATCCTGAAGGAACCCAATGCCATGAAGAGGATGAAGACCATCAAACACTTCATCAAGATCGCCTTACACTGCCGGGAGTGCAAGAACTTCAACTCCATGTTCGCTATTATCAGGTGGGCTAGCTGAACAAGGTGTCTGAAGTGTATTTTCCCACAATACAAAAGATAAAGTAGGAAAAACTGCCAAGAAACAACGTCGGAAAACGTCTTCAAACATTGTTAAGCCATTCTTAAATACAGTATTAGATTACATTGATAATTCTGAATCCTGAAGAGTCTCTCCATAGCGAGCAGAGACAGATTTAGTGCTCAGCTGCTCATCTTCTGTCACACATCCTGACGATGATTCATCTTTTCTTATTGTTTCATTCTGCATGTACGCTAACATTTTTGTAGCTAAGATGGTCAACAGGGCCTTGAGAGGAAATAACACTGCTTCTAACTCAATGTTTTTTTATTTACTGATGTAACCATGTCCAAGTCCTGCTATAAAACACTTTTTACTCTCTTAAGATCAACATCTAATCCATATTGATGGGATATTCTCTGCAAAATAACTGCAACTTCCATATAAATTCAAACACACAACAAGCAGTTCTCCAGTAAATATCACTTTAGCTGTATCTTGATAAACGGAAGAGATTCAAGTGTCTGTGATATGACCTACTTTCACCAGGGATCCATGTTGAGTGAGTCTGGCTTTATACTTAGCTGTCTTCTTGACACATCCCATTGAGGTCCAGACTCACAGTTCAAGGATCTGGGCAGTATGGTGACCCTCTGTTCTCTGCTGTAACAGGCACTTTAAAACAGAAGTGTCTGACCTCCACGTCCCTTTTTACACGCCTCCTCACAGCAGGACTTCTCTGAACATATGGCTCTCTGATGCTTAACCTGCCTGGTGACAGGGGCATTGCTGCTGCTGCTGCTGCTGTGCTTTGAGTGTGTATGTGTGTAAAGGCAATACAACAATGCAGGGTTTCCCATAGCCTTTAATAGAGGACACACCCTGCTCTGCTCTCATGAAATAACAGTATTTATCAGTGACATTAAATATGCAGGAGGGGTTGGATTTGTTGTGAATGGGGTTGGATGTTTAAAAAAGGGAAAATGATGGATGGATTCATTGAAAATAAAAGTATTGGAAATTCTGATGCTATAAAAACCAACCAGACCTGATCACCACTTACTGTATATTACTAACTTTTATAGAAAAATAAACACAAGCACCTGATTGATCACACATTCCTGTGGTCATCCTGACATTATTATGCAACTTCTTGAGATTTGGTAACTAACAATGTTAGGCCAAGATCACCAGCAAACAGAGGAATGATACAGAGAGGGTTTGGAAATATCACCAACAAAAAAGAAAAGGATAAACGTTCAGGTTATAGATGTAGAGTTGATGAGCGAAGTTGTAAGGGACAAGAACAGAAAAGATAATGAAAGGGGGAAAGCAGAAATGCATGCTCTGCCATTCATAATTGTCTTCTGTCTGAATGAGTCTGCTCAGAGATGATTTTGCCTCAAGGGGTCTCCTGCTCAGGATCATGGACAGCTTGCTAACTGAAGCTCAAAAAGACATAAAGCAAATGTCAGTATAGGGTTTTTAAAGGAGGATGTCCATTGAACATTCAAACTAAAACTACCATTTCTCCCTCTCTTGTGCCTCCTTGTTTCTACCTCTTTCTTTCCCCTCCATTTATCTTTGTCTCTCTGCCCCCCAACCCCTCTCCCATCCTACCTTGCACCTTTTTTTTTTTTTTTTCTTCCCCTCCCTCAACATAGCGGTCTGAACTTGGCACCGGTGGCACGGCTGCGCAGCTCTTGGGAGAAACTGCCCAGCAAATATGAGAAGCTGTTCGGGGACCTGCAGGATGTTTTCGACCCGTCCAGGAACATGGCCAAGTACAGAAACATCCTGAGCAGCCAGAGCATGCAGCCACCCATCATCCCACTGTTCCCAGTGGTCAAGAAGGATCTCACCTTCTTGCATGAAGGTTTGTATGCAGCCCAGAATCTCTGTGTGCTTTTTTTGGTGTATTATCCACTCAAGTATCGCTACATTTCTTTTAAATGTCCATGGCAAGTTATTCATGTGGGGCGATTTCTGAAACTTGACATGTCATATAGCACAGTTTTACATCTCCTACTTCCTCTGTGCTGTTTTGAAAGGTCAAGTCGAATCTTACTCAGGAGGTTTACTTCTGCTTTAAGGGCTCAAAAGTGTCAAACCGGACTTCTCTTTAACAGTTTAACGTACGGCCATGATAGGAATTGAAGAGAAGGTTCCCCTAATTGTGCAAGTTACAGATAATCTCAAACTGCTCCATGTGACTCAGTAGGAAAGAAAGACACTTTGATCTCCTGGGGGACGGACTGACAAGACTGAGACCAGAACAAGCGGATTTTAGCTTTGAAGATTCAGCTTAGAAATACTGTTTGAAAAATTGCATCTTGCAAATGTCCCAACATATGAATCATTGATCTCCTTTACAATTTGTTCAGCTGGCTCTATAATCACTGTTCCCTGTGTCTGTGTGCGTGTCTGTTTGTCCTCTCAGGCAATGACTCCAACGTGGACGGTCTTGTGAACTTCGAGAAGCTGAGGATGATCGCCAAGGAGATCAGGCATGTGGTGCGGTTGACGTCAGCCAACATGGACCCTGCACTCATGTTTAGACAGAGGTTGGTTGTTTTAATAAAAACAAGTCCTGAAACATTTCAATGTAAAGATGTACCAAATTTCGGCTTTAACTTCAATCTGTTTGAGCCAATATCACAGATTGAGTAACTTTAGCTGTTTAAGAGTACTTGTAATTAACTCACTCCTATGGGGGCTTTAGTTTGCATAATTAGGTATCACAAAACTCTTTAACTTTAAGAAGAGGCTGATTTGACATAAATTTACATTTTGTAGTTTTTTGTTTGAAGCAAAGAAATCATCAGATAATATCAATGAATGCTTAGTTTTCATTTCCTTCCAACATAGAGGCTGTTTTTTGTGGTCTTGTATGTGAAACAGAATATTTTAACTGTGAGTATTTTTGAAACAGACTCTCCTTTTCTTAGCCAGACTGTAGAAAACTTTTACTTCTCAGTCAGAAGCATGAATGCAGAGAGGATATAGTTTTGTATATTATAGGTTGTAGAAAGATAACCTTTTCTAAAAGTAAAATATCAAATCGAGCAAAAAATGGAACCACAGCATCAAGCCTCCACCTGCCAGCCTGGATTCTTCAGCATCAGGATCAGGCACACACACTTGAATGTCAGGTTCTATCAATTCCCATTCACTTTCTGTCTGGTTCACGGCCTTTGTGGGTTTGATTGCATTCCTCTGCTGAGACGTAACGGCACAAGGACATGAGGCATGGATCGACTTGAAGTGAAGAGGAATTGATGCCAACCACAGAGTGTATTTGTTACCACTCAGTTTGTGTGTTTATCACAGTCTGTCACTGCTGCGGTGCATGACTGCCCCCTGCAGGCACTCCCTTCATACTGCAAACTGTCAGAGCAGATCTTTTTTCACAAGTCTTTTGTTTCAAAATCTCAGCGTCATATCATGAAGACAAAAACGGTTTAAAAAAGGTGGCACAACAACGTGTTTTCATGCAAACACTCCCACACACTGTGAAGGTTGATATGGGGAGATGTCCTACATCAAGTGTCCTCCCATCTTCAATCATCATTACTGTTTGTTTGTTGTGGCATGACCTCGACATAGTCTTGTCCACCCCCGACCCCCTGAACTTGTCTCTAAGTCACGCTTCAATCTTCACGCCTCTCGCTTGCAGGAAGAAGAGGTGGAAGAGTTTAGGGTAAGTTTGTCCTGGAACCAGCAGGAGTTAAATCCACCCTGCATCCCCACCACCATCAGCCCTGCATGCCCCATCCCCCCCGACCCCATCCCTTACTTTATCCAACTGTACATGTGTCTGCCTGTGCTTGTATGTAATTAACCCTCCCATTTGAAGTACCTATTCACCTGAACCATACTCAAGTCCATCTTTGACCAAACCATTGTTTGCTCTGTTCATGAGATTGTATGTTTGAGTCATATAGTAGCTTTAAACAAACCAAGTGTTTGTTCTTTCTCAACACGATGATGTAGTGACAGCTTGAGAGTGAAGGGAAAAGGTTTCTTGCATTTAGTGAGAGTTCAAGTTGAAATGTATTGTCATTTCTTATCGTGTGTTCTACTTTAGACAAACTCATTGTGCAGACAACACAAACAAAAACAAAGCAGGTTATGGAGAGTCTACTTGTGAATCATCAATTTTGGATGATAACTTCAAAATAAAAGCAGTAAACGATCTAAATATGAAAAAAAATAACCTGACCAAACAATCCTGTTTTAAGGTTTAGTAACTGAGAACATTTGATGATGTCACATAATCTCAATCAGCAGAACAAGTTTGATATTTACAGATACTATTTGACTCAGGTCGTTTGTGTGTACTTATCTGCATCTCAACATAATAATCCCCATATCGACTCTTGTGCATCTTTCGTTTTCTAACCCTTTTTGCCTCCATCTGACAGAATGTTCTGCTGTTCTGTCTGTGATAGCATGGCACACCAGAGACAGCTGCCTCCTTCCTCCCCCAGTTTGCATGGTCCTGTTTGAAATGCTATGCTGTTAAAGGCAGATGTTCCGATTTTAAAGTAAAGGAGAAGTTTGATGAGAGAGCAGATGTGCTGCGGTTTTTTTATACTGATTGTTGTCTTATAATTCTTCCCTTCCTTCTTTCAATCTGCCTTCTTGTTTTCTGTCTGTGTACTTTTATATGTTTTACTTCTACTCCTCTCTTATGTTGATGTATCTCCCTCTTTTACTCCTTGTCCTTACCTCTTGAAATTCTCTCCTTTTGCCATTGTCAACCTGTTTCTGTTTTTCCTTCTCCCCAACTCTTCCTCATTTTTTCCCCCTTAAATTATTCGTTTCTGTATTTCCTCACGATATTCATCTCCTTCCTTCCTTCCTCTCCTCTTCTTGCTCCCTCTTTCTTCCCATCACCAGGTCTCTGAGTCAGGGCAGCACCAACTCCAACATGCTGGATGTGCAGGGTGGAGCCCATAAGAAGCGAGTACGTCGCAGCTCGCTCCTCAACGCTAAGAAGCTGTACGAGGACGCTCAGATGGCTAGAAAGGTGAAGCAGTACCTGTCCAACCTGACGGTGGAGGCGGACGAGGATAAACACCAAATCATGTCCCTGCAGTGTGAGCCGTCCTACAGCACCTGTGAGTAACGCAGAACTCTTCACACTTGAAGTGCTGGGGTAGGAGTCTGAATAAAAAAGGACAATAAAAAGTACACTAGACTACAGTCGCTTCAACTTAAAATAAATGTATCTCTAAACTTTTAAAAGTTTAAAGCTGTAAAAAGAAAAAGAGGGTTAGTTTCATTTTAGAAATACTCTAACATTGACTTTAAGCCAACAAAGAGCTGCGACTTCACTGGATATCTGACAGAATACACTGTACTGTTCATGGGTTTAATCTGTCAAACTCGCTTGCACTGCCACCTAGTGTATTTGAAAATGTCTTGCAGAGAATAACAAGAATTAATACATCAACAAACTTGTAGTTACATTAGAAGGTTTTATATTTATTTTGCAAACCATCTGAAGAATACAACTTGCACACAGTACTGTTTGTTTGTTGTAGGTAGTTGTTTTGTTGTTTTTTGTCAGACGTAACCTAATTTTAAATTAATTTCCTCAATTTGGTTATATCCCATTGTGCTAAAATTTCGTCTTTTTTTCACAGCTGAATTAAATCATGGTATTGTTGGTACATCACAGCTGTAATAGTAGTTGTCTAAAGTGATTTTTTAAATATCATTTGATCTGATTATCTTACTTTTGATAACTGTAAACACACCTTCTTCATGGTTTCTGCTATTAAAGAGAGATAAATGTTTTTGTCAGTTCCACAAAACATCTGACACATCCGAGGTTGACGTCAAACTCATTGTTCTTTATAATGATGTCAAACTAGTCAAACTAAACAGAAAGAGTTAATAATGACGAGATGGTCGATTCTTCTGATGTGTCTTTTTAAAATATGTGTTATTTTGTCTTCTCCTTGTGTGTCTGCAGTATCAAAAAACTTGAGTGAAAGACGCGCCACAAAGTCAGACATGTCTCCGGTGTCTCTGCGCTCGGCTCTGCCTTCAGGGAAAACCCAGAACAGGGTGTCGCAAGTCCTCCAGGTCCAGGTCCCACTGAACCCGCTACGAAAGAGGAGCACTGCCAAGGACATAGGAACGCCTAGTTAGTACACCCGTACCATACTGTTGATGATGATGACGATTGTCTTTATTATTATTATACTTCTTGTAGTTTGATTACATTCTCTAAGCTCTCTTTAATCATTCCATCTTCAGTGTCAGTGTTAATATATATCAATATTATTAGTGATTCGAATTTCCTACAATAGTTATTAAAGGCATGTAAACCTAAAATACTACATGAAGATACTTTATATGCAATTTTACACAATGGAATATCCTCAGTGAAAGAAAACCTACATTTCCTATTTCTGTTTGGTTACAGGAATAAAACCAGCAGAGTCACCGGTTACTGTGGTGTAACCTTTTTTCATTATTTCTCTTCCAGACTCCAACTCTCCCCAGGTGGTAAAGAAACCTCCGCTGACTTCTTCGGAGGAGTGGAGTACAAAGAGACCGTCTGATGACACCGTCTCCACCATCTCCTCTCTACACTCCAGCCCCACGGTGTCGCCGCAGGGCTCCCCTCGCAAAGGTGCGCCTCAGAAACAGTTTTTTTACTCTGTATGCTTTGATCCAAGGAAGGTCAGCTGAGGCGATAAGTTCTCCTAGTGGAGATCAAGTGATAAAGGTCACCTGAAGGCAGAACTCTGAAACATGATGATAATCTTACTGAATTACTCTGAAATCATGTCGCCGCTCAATCGTCTGGAAGGGCTGTTTTTTTTGGTTTATTTTCCCTCCTTGATATCTTTTAAGAAAAAATATCTCTTTTAAATGGATTCATGTGTTTTTCACAGATTTTTGATAGTATTTTAGGCACCCTGTGACTTTGATCTCCATGTTTCTGTCTCTCTTTTTAGTTGGTGGAGTGGCCAAGTCCCACAACTCCAGCCAGATGAACTTGTCGGGATCCTCTTCGTCACTCACCAGTGACGTCAGCACAAAGGCCGGCACTATCAGCCTGCGCAGCTACGGCATAGGTGGGGCTCTCCTCCACAAGAGGATCCTATTGATGACCACACAGCACAGCCGAGAGAGCAGCAGGGAGAGAGAGAATCAGACAGCAGAGGATAAGAAGAAGAACAGAAGAGAAGGGGAGAAGGGAACAGAATCAGTGCAGAGAGGCTTGATTCCTTCAGAGCAGAGGAGAGGGAGATCCAGGCATGGTTCACAGGGAGACTTAGGGCTTATAGTTCAGAGTGTGGGATCAGGGCAGGAGCATCTATCAGTCCACACAGGGTCTCCTCCCAGTCTACCCGTGCTAGCACCCATCACTCTGTCACCACCACGGCCCCATTTAATGAGACCCAAACCCCCAGATTCCCCCATCAGGACGAAGCTAATGTCACCCTTCAGGATACTGAGGGAAAGGAGTCAGTCCAGGGAGAGGCTGATGACATTGAGACAACATGTGAATGATGGGGAAGGAACAGGAGATGTTGTGCAAACCTTACCCGAGTATGAGAGAGGAGGACAGGCAGAGCAGAGAGCCAGGAGGTCGGTCAGCCCGAACCCCTTCCTCTGGTTCTGTAGGGACAGACACACAAGGAGAAAGACTTTCTGACAGAGAAACCGATTTATCCACTTATTTGCTAAGTAACATGAAGAAAAAGGGAAGCTAGTTGTGGGAAAGTTTGTGTCAAATGTCGATGATTGATTGTGTTCATTGTAAATCCGTTACAGAAGGAAAATCAGTTTTTGGAGGCCACTTTGGAAGCATGGAAGCAACTTTTTGAACTTCTACCCACCATGAGCCATAGATAGAAAAACTTTCAGAAACTATTTCAATCTATTCTTCTGACATTTCATCGTTCACAAGATTGTCCAATGTGTTGCAATGCCAACATATTTATCCCAGTAAGAAAGTGCACCATTAAGATCCTGTTTTTAAAGCATTTTCACAAAAGTATGCGAGTTCTTCGCCTAGGTTTTGTATGTGACGTCCTTCTGTGGAGTGCTGGTTGTTATAATTACAATGTTCAAATGTTAAGTTACCCTGCAGTCAGAGTTCATTTGGTTCAGCAGGTGTTTGTATAATGAAGTGAAAGCTGTGATCTCAAAAGTGTCCTTTATTGTCATTTGTTTTGTTTTGTAGTGTTAAGGTTTCTTACTGGATAAACGGCATTATTTGTAAGTTTGTCCTATAAAAAAAAAAGAGAACTGAAACTTCAGATGGAAGTTGTCTTAAACCTGTGGAGTTCTTTAATCATCTGGGTGCAGCGTGATTTGAAGTGTAGTGATGAAAAGAAGACTAGGACTTTCCATGGTTTGCATAGAAAGGTCATCATAGCCATCTGAGGGTTAAGTGATCTACAGTTTTGCAACAGACACTTCAGTGTTAGTGTTTACATTCAAACACTGTTGGTCATCAGTCTGGTTTCTTCTTTTTGTATATTGTGTATTTGTATTTTGCCTAATTTTTAAAAAAACATTCTTATTATCCTTTCCTTGGTCCAGGTTACTCTCTCCTTCCAGCCGGTAAAGCAGACAACCTGTCAGACTCGAGTCACAGCGAGATCTCATCCCGCTCCAGTATCTGTTCAGTTGACTCAGTGCCAGCTCCAGGACTTGAGGATCGGTGTAGCAGCAGCAGGACCTGCTCTTCTTCTGCATCTAGTAATACTACAAATACAACCATGACATCTGCTGCAGTTCCTGAGAGCACAGCAGCCTTGCACTTAAATGCTGAATACAACCAGCCCAGCACAAGGTATGCACCCTTCTGTCATAAAGATATTCTTTAGAAAATACAATCAATTACTGTAAGTGCACTTCAAAAACAAGGTCGGCTTTCGCTCACAAAACTGTGTCCCTGTGCAACTGAGGGACCTGGTGTCTCCTGAAACCAAACAGTACATTGCTATATAACAGTCATTTCCGAGGAGTACTCTAGCATACAAGTCCTTGGGGATTTACAGATTTTTAATTATAGTTTTGGCTGCAGTGTTTTGAAGCAGGACAAGTTCCTTCTCATAATGAGATATCTAAAGTAAATAGAGAAAGATTACGTTCCATATCAAGAAGATATTTTGAAATTCCAGCACTTGTTTAAAAAAGCCAATAGAACTGAAAAGAACGTATGGTGTCTTCATTCTGTTTTATTGAATTTCTTTGTATAGTTGTCACTTAATCCAGTGTGTGGTCATTTTAGGGAAAAAAAGCAATTATCCTAAAAATCATAAGACATCTCCAGGACACATCTCCATTATTACTTTCTAATGAAATCTATGGTATCATGGGAGGTTTTTATTTGTTTCAACTCCTGAAAGATATTAGACCCTGTGTAGAAATAACATTGAGTCTAATCACAAGAAACAAGTCATGGATGGATGGGGAGTCCTCCGGTATGTTAGGACAAGTAGAACACCAACAACTGCACCAATAAAAACTCTCTTGAGATCTTACAACTAGAAGAGTCACTAAGAAGGGAAGGTAATCTGTATGTGTCCTCTCCAGATGGGATTCAAATCACTGTAAAGGTCAATAGGATTTTAATTACCCCTCCCCCCATCACACATATACACACACACACACACACCTTTGAGGCCACAGTCCCATTCAGAAGTTCATAATGATCATGTGAACATAAGTGATCAAGATGTGAAATTGCACTGTGTAAATTCACTCTTCTGCATTTATGAAAGCTCATTTTCCTAGTTTATAGGGAAACCTGTTAGCTCCTATCACACCCATACCTTCCTAAAAATGAATAGGTATTAGAGCAGATATTTTCCCCCCAGCTGTGACTGAAGCCTCAAACCACAAGGGCACATTCACACTGAAACAGTTAATCATCAGAAACCTTCCCGGTGGCCAACAAGAGCGAAGACACTCCTCGCGCACACGCTCTGCTCTCTCAAATTGCTCCTCCAGCTGGATTCCAATTATGTCCTTTCTCATTAAAGCTCACAGAACTGGAAGTCGTATAACACGGCAGCTTTATTTTTTATTAGATTCCAACAGTTACTGCCCCCCCCCCTCCCTCTTCAATGTATCGGTTTCCACGCAGTAGGCTTTTTTTTTAATCTGGCCGAGTAAACAACACACCTGTTTTTTATTGTCTGCTGTTTGTTTATTGTTCCTCTATGATCGGGCCGCTCTGTCTCACAAAGTGGAGACTATAAAAATATCTCCAGACGCAATAATCGGTCTGCTTCTCTGATATCATATTACCTCGCCAGCCTTGCTGTATAACACGGGCCTGTGGATGAAATATGGCTCAGTTTCATTGAGTGGCTTGTTTGTCAAGTAAAACCATGACAGTGAATCAAAGTGTTAGTTTATGAAAAGCAGCCAAGGGGAAAAACTTTTTTTGAGAAGCCAGACATGGTTATTCATCATCAAGGACCCCTGTCAAAATGCTTGTTTAGTGATTAAAGTGTACAGACGAGGCATAAGCTTTAACAGCTGAACATTCAGAGTGACCTCATTTTACTGGTGATACAACAAACACCTTAGAGACAGCTGCACAATAAGTTATTATTAGTTAAAAAGTAGAATATTGTATACAGACAACATGCAGCATCTGTGTTAGATTGAACTTTATCTGGTTCTGATTTGTCTTGATTTGTTTGTGTTGACTCTCCGACCTGTCTGTCCTCCATCCAGCAGCTTTTTAAATCCATATTGAACCTCCACCTGTGCCCTGTTCTCCCTCTATCTCACTACTTATGATCAGATCATTTCAGAACAAGTTACTTACAACTTGGCCCTAAATAAGACACCTCTTTCTCTTTGTCTTTAAAGTTTGAGGCTGATGTCTCTACTTCTCCACCAGTCTCTGCTTCATGTACTTGTACACTGAATTAACGTTTGATAAATAGTGTAGGAACATGCACTCATATCCCAATCTGCTTTTCATTTTTTATTTATTTTATATAAAATTCTGTGGCATATAAATGAATACAAACACCATATTGCATAAAACCTGAGCTAGTTTCAACAGTATTCCATAAATGGCCTTTAAAATACATAAAAATCAACATTAGTCACACAACAGACAGAACAATACACAAACTCAAGTAAGACATCCCTCTGGTTCATTTTTGTAAAGGTTTTTGTATTGATTTTTTCAGCGTAAGCATCAACATTAATCTATTCACTTTGACACTTTTTTCACAGCAGTTCCTCGTCCTTGGCCCGGGGACATGTAACGCGAGCCTCCACCTTCACCTCCTCCACCTCTACAGAGGAGCTGACCCCGGACCACACCTCTCTGGACTCAGTGGCAGACAGTGGCCGAGGCAGCTGGACTTCCTGCTCCTCCAACTCCCACGACTCCTTCCAAAGCCTCCCCATCTCCTCCTGCCGGCCCTGGGACCACGGCATTCACGGACATCCGCTCTCCCTCCCCTACACGCACCTGGGCACTTTCAAGCACACGCAGCTGGCAGGGCCAATAGCGGAGGTGGAGGCCGCTGCAGCCGCTCACACCTGGACAAATGAGGACTCTTCTGTCAAGCATCACTCCAGAGACTCCAGCTCAGATCTGTCCAATCAGTCGCGGCAGAGCTGGGCATCATCCAGCTCGCTGTCGGACACCTATGAGGGGAATTATGGGACGATAAAGCGGAGAAACACCACGGAGAACCCCTCCTCTCCCACCATTGAGGAAGGAGGGCAAAGCACAGACCCTGTCTACAAAACGGTGACGTCAAGCACAGAGAAGGGCCTGATAGGTGAGGGCTCGGGCTGAGGTTTTGATAAACAGTGGTCAACTTTGTCGCCACGTGTGTGAGCGTCAGCTTAGGAATGTGTGGATCTAAAGATAGTTACAATAGAAAACATTATTCCCCTTTACTCAGCCGGTTAAATTAGTTCAGCTGTTGTTAAAGCCAATGAGTTCAGCGTGCTGTTGCGAGGCACGCTGTTACAGTATAGCTAACTGATAGCAAATGCTGAATTTGAATATTTCTGAGATCTTAGGCTGAGGATTCACACAGTTATCATTCAAGACAGGGTAGGCATCAGTCTGACCGGAGTTAAGGAGCTAGGGAAGAAGCCAGGGAGTGTCTTTAGGATCCCCAACTTTAGTCTAATGGTTATCTATAAGACTGCATTTCCTAGTTCCTTTCCTAGTGGTCTCTTAGATTTTTCCTACTTCCTAGGGGATATCAAAACTTTTTGATAAATACGAGTTGTAGAAGACTATTTAAGACAGTGTTTTTGCAGTAACGATTCAACTATTAAGTGTTTCTATAATTAGATTGACGGGACATTCATTTGCAAAAGTTTAAATAATCGATCAATCGTTTGAGTCTAAGCTTTTAAAATATACCTCATGGAAATAGACAATTCTTATTTAGTAAAAAACAAAAAACCCTGTTGACTCTAAGCTCTAAGACTTTTTCTACTTTCTTTGTCACTTTAAGAACCAAACGATTAATCCATTATTCCGATAAACCACTTACTAGTTATGAAGTCATGAAATTGTCAAATATGGCTCTAGTTGTTTCTGTACATGCCGCAGCCATCCATCTCATTGATTTAATTTGTTTCCTTTTAATTTTCCAAACACTTTGCTGCATGTGTAGTTGTTTATCCTGTTCATGAAAACACCACATTGATTTGATTTTTTTCATTATTATCTTTTTTTTCTGCCCTCCTTCACATAACTCCTCACCTACCTCTTTTTTTTTTGTTGGAAACTTCTTTACCCCCTCCCCCCTTCACTCCTCATCTTTCACCCCCTCCTCCTTCACTCCATCCCTCCTTTCTTTTGATCTCCACCTACATCCAGTGTATTGTATCACCTCCCCTGCCAAGGATGAGCGTTATCGAGCTCCCCCTCCCACCCCTCCAGGCTACCAAGGTCTGGCTCTGGGGGATCTCGGCCTCACAGACGGAGTAGTAGGAGGGCCAGGAGGTCTCCTCCCCAGGCCTCCTCACCTCAGACCTCCGGACTACAGCGTGGCGTTGCAGAGGAGCAAACTCCTGCAGAGCCCCGGAGCAGCAGGGGGTCTGGCTGAGGCTCGGAGGCTGGCTGCTAACCATCATCTCCAACAAGAGGGCCGAACTGGAGGCTCCACCCAGGACCACTCCAGACCGCCCAGCATCTGCCTCCCAACACAGGAGCTGGCGGACAGTGAGGACGGTACGTCTTCAGCAGCAGTCTAATGATTTAACTGAGAGTAAACGAAGTCATGGTTCCCTTAAATAACAATCTAACACTTCTACATTACATTTCCTTTTAAAGCTGATTAATGAGGTCTGAAAACAAAAGAAGAAGAAAATAGAAAGATGTTTGTCTCGTTTCTATTAAGAGACCACTGTCCTCTTCAAAGCAGTCTTATGGGACCATATTCCTTACTGCTATGCAGTTTAGGGCTGCAGAAATGCAAAATTTTCTCTAATCGATTACTCTTCCCATTGTTAAAGCGAGTACTCGAGTAATCGTTTTTGTAGTTCTTTTTTTTTTTTCTGTGATTCTTTCCCCCCATGGGAGGCCCCGCCCCCAACTATGACGCGATGCCGACTGTATCTATTGATTAATTTGAATCTTCAGGATTTTAATAATTGTTAGTAAGAGGCCTTTGTATTAACATTCAAATTAAGACATTTCTTACTTCAACAGACAGCAAACCTCAAATAAAACTTCACACAGACATGTTATGACCGTTTTAACACTTTATTATAATTAAGAGCAGTGATTGTGGCGAGCGGACGTGCAGTCATCAGTGCACACTCATCACACGTTGAAGCTGTTTTGACAAAGTCTGCAGTGTAGAGCACACTTTACTCTGGTATATGAAGTTACAATAGAACAGGTGGACGATTTAAGTATCTGTCTGTTTCATCTTTCTCCTCTGTGCGTAATGACACACTCGCTCGTCCGTCCGCTATGAGCTATTTCTCCCTATAAGGTTATTCTGTTTTGTAGTTATTAAAAGAATAATCATCTAAAATTCCAAAATACAGGAAAACATCTAGTTATGCTGCTCTGTCCTGGATGATCAAACGTCATTGGTTTAGCGGGGGAAAGCGGTAATCGCAAAGTGAAAGTCCTTCTTTTTCTGTGGACTAAAAAGACAATTTGAACTGAACTTTCATAGATCATATTGCATATTTCGTTTGTTTGGGACTTTTTGTTCATTGTGAATTCATAGGGGGGTTAATTAAAGGGTTATTCTAGGGTAGCAGCGTACGGATCAACAACGGACGCGTTTCAGCACAGAGCCTTTATCAGCGCTTTGTTTGTCATCTATTTTTTTTTTTAGCGCTTGTGCTCCTTTTTTTCTGTTTTGAATTAGGCCTATCCTAGAACCCACAATGCAACAAGAAACATTTACAAAAATGTGGACCACAAAACGATTATCGATTAAATTTTTTTTGTAACCGATTATTATTTAATGAACGAGTACTTGGGTACCCGAGTACTCGTTTGCACCCCGAATGCAGTTAGTAGTATGTATATGTAGTATGACACTTTGTGTGATATGTGTCATTAGTATTCTTCAATGTTAACTTAGCTGTTTGGCAGCTCTCTCAGAACAAGGCTTTAATAGGTTTACTCTTGCCAACTAGAAGCACTTACATTACTCATGTAATGTTTCTCCATCTGATTGCAGGTATAATAAGTTTGTTATTAAACACCCGTAAACTAAGGGGGGGGTGGGTCGCATTAAGTACCGTTAAAACTGTAACAAGCACTGCCACTTACAAATATTAAAAAATAAAATAAATAATTTGTAATACTCTGTAAATCAATCCATCAATTTTCTGCCTCTGAACCTGGATCAAAGTACTGTTATTTGATTATTGAATGTTTTTAATTACTCTTTTTGACGTACTTTAAACATGCTGTAACGATTCATAATTCCCACTGCTGTTAGATTATTCTTTCATACTTTGGCCGACAACATGATAAATTGAATGAAATTGAATTCCATGCAGTATTAAATAGGTCTTTGGAGGTCTAAATTGAACTTTGTGAACCCTGCTGAAACCCTGTAAAAAAAAAAGAAGTAGCAAAGTATGAAATTCAGGATTTGTAGACATTTGTCCTCTCTTCTCTTTTCCAGATGAACAAGTGTCGGCAGTGTAGGGACCGTGACGTCACACTCACACACGGACCAAGTGGTGTTGATCAGGACTGAGGGAGCAGCCTGTCATCAGAGCACATTTTTCCCCCCTCCCTGGACCATAATGCACCTGTGTAGACCTGAGCAAGGGGGGTCGGTGTGACCGCTGACCTCCCAGGACTCGTACATTCACCTCTTTTTAAGCCCATTTCACAAAACAAAGAACAAAAAGAAGATTTTAGACTTTTTACTAACTCTTGAACAAAGCTGGTTGACAAGCGTTTAAAAGGACAAAAGACGGAAAGAGTGACGATGACGATGACGACGTCGCATGAGAAGAAGTCAGCCTCCTTGAAAACAGACCATGTACCTCCATTTTGCACTCCAAGCTCTCGTGTCTAAAGGTGTTTCGCTTTTTAAAAAACATAGTTTTAACATGTTGTACAGATAATGCTTCTTCTTTTCATTGACATCTCTGAGCTTTGCTAAGTTTTACATGAAATTGTTATGAGGAGCATGCAAAGGGATTCAAGTCTGTAGTCCATAGTGTAAGAATAAGCAAAGGTGTACATTTATTTTTTTGGTTATTGTTTGCAGTAAGCTCAAACAAAGATGAATGTTAAATGATGAGAGACACAGAAAGCAGATTTAAGTTCTCATGAGGGTCTTTGTCTGGGCTTATCAGACCCTGGCACTGATGTTGTAAATCACATAAATCTTTTTTTTTTTTTTTCACACCAACACATCAAATGCTGAAAAAAACAGCTACAAAACCAACTTCATAAGAAAAGATACTTTCAACTTTGACTGAATTTTAGGTCAGGAAAGCCACATAGAGCCCCTAAACACAGTTTAACACAGTTTATCTCAAGAGAACTCCTGAAGTAGCAAAGTGCATGTTTGTTTGTGTTTACCACTTATTGGACATTGGAAAAGAAAAGAGAGAGAGACAAACAGCATCTCTCAGGCAGTTCAGCGTCTCTGCCAACAGGCCGCCTCTCTTATTGCTCGTTCAGTCTGATGTGAGGTACTTTAGCGGCATGCTGCCTCCTGGATGTTCTATAAAAAACTGTATTATAACTTGTTTTTAATGAGCTGAAGAACAAATGCCTCGCTGCTTCCTGTAGAGTAAAACATCGTTATTGCAGCAGCTATCATAAAAACAATAAATTAGCACTGTGTGGTCGCACAGCGTGCATGTATACACACACACACACAAACACACACATCATGAGATAAATTACAGTGTTTACACCGACGCTTACATGTTTTGTTTACAGTGTTTATTAGACTAGTTGTCTATTGATTTACAAGCTGAAATGTTGAAGCGTAATACTCTGGGTTTATTTGACCTTGTAAATTTGTTTATAATGCAGCAGGAATGTGAGATGCAGCATAAAAATTTGACAATGCGCTCAGTGTACCTCTCATATCGTCTTTTTTTTTTTTTCTGCTTCTTATTTAAAAGGACGAGCAACAAAACAAGTCGACAGATCACGTGTTTATAACGCCTGGCTTGCATCTCCTTTCATGTGCATAGACAATTCTGTAGAATATTTAAAGGATTTGCTTAAAAATAGTTTATTTGTATTGAAAGCAGAAGAAAACGTGTACATTCTGAGTCAAGTTGGTGTTTTCTCTGCAGTGCAGCAGGGTCAGAACTGGAATCTTCTCTCCTTATTGTGTATCTTGCGCTCTGTGATGCTTCTTTTCTTTACTTTTGCCACACAAAGACTTGAAATGATTGATGCTACTATATACATGGCATATATATATATATAGGAATTTATACGCATTTTTTTTGTTTCTTTGCCATAAATTAATTTGAACTGATCATGTATAGATGAGTACAGAGAGTCCTCTATAAAGGCTATTTTTAAATATTTTGTTATAAGAAATAACCCGAGGTTGTGATTGCCCCGTGTCGTCGGGCAGGAGTCTTTTAAGGAATTGATCCTAGTTTTTCTTTTCTTTTGTGTGTGCGTGTGTGTGACTTGTTTTTTCTCCCCTCACACTCACTGTTGTTGGTGCCATTTCTGCTCTGTCTATAACCGTAAATGCTGCTGTGTTTTGGGATATGACTGTGTGTGAACGTGTGTGTGTGTGTGTGTGTGTGTTGTGGAATTATATTTGTGAGGTTGAAATCAACATAGCCTTTTGTTTTTAATACCGTCTTGATTCAGCACATAAGGACAGGCTCAGAAGTCATTTTCAATGAAAACCCGTCTTAGCTCGCAGCTTTGATTATTCTTGCCTGCAGAACATTGGAGCCCTTGTGGGACTCTTTTTTTTTTTTTTTGGAACAAGACTATCTTCTTCAAACTCTGACTGGATGATTTAGAGGAGTTTTTGATGACAGCTCAGTCTGTTTGAATTTAACACAACAAGCCCCGTCATGATGGTGACTATTATCTGGTTTCTCTCCCCTCAACACTGTCAGCTCTGCAGGACTCTTTGACCCTGCTTGACTTGTATGATGGATGTCACTGAATCCATTGTGACCCTAACCCAAGTCCCCTTTCTTTAATAACAATAGTAGAAATGTTGTTACAGACGGAGTCAGAAACTGAAAACTACTTTTTTGTCTTTCCTCTTTTTTTGCACATCTGAATTCCTCAGATTCTTTACCGTAAATCAGTATTAATGTTCTGCACGGACGATTTAGAAAATAACTGAATCTACAAACTGGCCCTTATGTCATGAATGTGATAGATTTTAGTCAGAGGAAACTCTTTTTATTTTACCTGGCCTGCTTTGAAATGTTTGGATGAGAGTGAAACATCAGGTAACACATTTAGCTTTTGTCTGTCTCTCCTTTAATGTTATTGTTTCTCGGAGAAGTCCTAACTACAAGAAGGGTTGTTTTCATGGAGGATCTGGCAGTGAGCAGCTCTTGGCACTGTGAACAAAACTAGTCAGTGTTTTTTTCAACGTAAGACTGGAGAGGATAAACTTCATGTCTTCTCGTAGCTTCTGAAAATATCTGCCTGATACTAAAGACCCATCCCCCCCCTCTCATTTCTCCTCCTCGTCCTGCCATGTTTCCTGGAATGCAATAAGAGAGATGTGAATGTGTTTTGTTATTTAGACATCTTTTGGCATTACAGCAGAAATGCACAACAATAAGCTTCAATATGTGGTGAGTGTGCTGCACAATCTGTACAAAGAGGTATTATTAACTTGGTCTGTGGCTTAAAGTTTGCTTCACACTTCTCATAGCTGTTGTAACTTATGTCTTTTAGAAAGACAACATGATTTTGCTCGTATGCTTTTTATGTATTTTTTACGAGTGATTGTAAATAGTTGTTATATTTTTGTTTAAGAGAATGTTTGAAAATAAAAAAATAACTTTTATTTCTCCAAGTCTACTGATCTGAATTTGGAAAATGAATAAAATGTAAACCAACTATTTGTGTTTTTATTGATGGCTGGACGTTATTTCACTCAAGAAAAACAAAAACTGGGGACGGGGGGTAGGTTCTTCAAAATTTTCATGAAAACATGTTGACCGAGAACCTGTAGAAAATTTTCATGAAAAAATGTTGACGGCAAACTTTTAAAAAAATTTCCAGAAAAGATGTTGACTGCGGACCTGTCGAAAATTTCCATTAAAAACTGTTGACCGCAAACGTTTTTGAAATTTTCATGAAAAAATGTTGACTGCAAATTTGTTCAAAATGTTCATGAAAAAATGTTGACCCCCGACCTGTCGAAAATTGTCTGCACATTTAAACCACTTAAAAAGCTCTAAGAACCAATCTTATTCTGTCTCTTAGTATCACATGGCCACTTCATGCCAAATGTCTCCACAGATATACCTCAACAACTTTAGGGTGTCCCCAGACTTTTTCCTCACAACTCACCATGAGGTCAACAATAATCAATTGAAGTGAAATATTTGATCGACTACCGAACTTATCACTGCAAAATTTGTCATAGACAGTAATGATGAATTGTAATAACATTTGTGATACCTTAAGTTTCCATTTAGCACAGTCATCATGTCAATACACTTTACATCCTTCAACTGCGTGTCACAGCTGTAAGCAAATGTTAGCATGATAACACAGTAAACCAGTGGTTCCAAAACTTTTCCTGCTGGGCCCCCCTTTGGCAGATGAGGATATTTTCAAGCCCACCCACCCCTTACCATGCATATCAACATAACTGAACAAAACACACTGTCAGTCACGCAACACACTGTCAGTCACGCTCTATGCCCACAAATCCCTACATTTTCATACTACAGTAGCTGCAAAACGAACAGAATAGCAACTTCAGTGTGGCAACAAACTAAAACAGCTAAACAAGCCACTTTTAAAGCAGATGCAATTAAAAGTTATACAAAACCATGAAGCTTCCAAATTTGTGATGCCTAGTGTCGATTCATCTGCCACAGGTTTACCTGGAAGGCCTCTCACAACATTTGACAAACTCCTGCGCCCCACTTTGCAAATCACTGCACTTAACTAAGATTACAGACTACACTGTCAAGTTACATTGTAATATAAAGCATGTTGCTAACATGCTCAGCAGTTAGCTCCAAGCACTGAGAACAGCCTCTGTGAATCTGATAGCTATAGGATGTAGACTTGAAGTCATGCTTATCAATATATAAGCACTTTCATTTCACAATTTAATAGATATGCTACTAACTTGAATTTATTTCTTGAAGTTTGTCACCACTATGTTTTGTGCAACAGGTTAGGGAAAGGCTTTTGTCTTGGCTTAATGTTTTGTTTTTTAAAACAACAATGTTTTCGGTGTAGTATCTACTTTTTTATTCCTTTGACTAATGAATCGCCACTCAACAGAAAAGGAGTCTAATTTCCACTTGCGTAACCGAGATGTCCTTAGGTTCATCCTCACTATCTCTCCTTATTATGCTCTGTGAATGTCAGTTCTGATCAGAGTCATGCTGGCCTCAAGGTCATGATCTTTTTAGAACTCATTAGAGGTTTACTGTCACACAGAGAGGCAGGAAGTCATGCTGTTACCTCTGTGTGCATGTGTGTGTATACATCACTGGGTGCAACTTGAATGGGTCAATTGGTCATTGGCTACTGCAAAGGCTATTAAAAGTCCCTTCCTAGCTCCCTATTTTTAAAGGATATACATAATAATGAATTGAATAGCACTCCAAAAGCTGTATCAAGGGAACTACATTTTTTTTCCTGAAATAAGGTCGACATAAGTGCCAGAAAGTCTGACTTATTCAAACAGTGTTTATTGAACTTTTGCTCAATGTGAACTTCTTCTTAAAGTCTCTGTTCTTTTCTGAGATAAAGTTATGGATTCTTACAGAGATGGGTCTGGATGGTGTAGCGGGTGAAGGGGCTGAGGTGTTTGTCGGGGGGCATGTTAACCAGCATGTTCAAAGAACTGGCCTCTCCACTTCAGAGAGAATATTCCAGAACGATGAGAGAAGTGAGGGTTCAGCTCCGAGTGGGATTCGAGTGGAAACGAGTCGAGGAAATTACACACAGCTTCAATTATACATCACAAAAGGGGAAAGAGCCCCACTGGATGGCAGAAGAGGAAATGTGGAAATGCTCGGGTTGTGTAATATGCTCCAGTGTGCATGTGAGTGTGAGTGTGTGTCACAGCACTACTCTATTCTGACTTTGAAGTTGTGACTTTGTCGGGAGCAGAAGCCAAGAGCAGGAGGTGAGAAAACTGAAACTTAACCACCTGAGGGTTGCCCACACACACAGGGGGGTATGGCTTTTAGCATTCCTGTCTAAATGAAAATGTGTAAAGCAAAACAGTTCAGAAAATATTCTTTCACCTGTTCAGTCTCTAGGCTGCCCTTGAGCAAAAATATGTGTGTGTGCATTTTGTTCTCACACACGAGTGAGAATAATTTCTATCCTTAACCTTTTGTGTCTTGTTTTTCAAAGAGAAGCAAATACTTGGAGAAAATATTGGTTGAATTCATAACTTGTGGTGTGTCTGATGTATAGGTGTAAAATCATCTCTTTCACCATCACTGTAGATATTTGATTTGCTCCTCCATGCATTATCTCATTCGGCATTTCATTGTATTTGGAACTAAAGTGCGACACATGCAATAGTTGCTCTTGGATGCACTTTGTAGTGACTTTGGATCTTACACAATTTGCAAAAAGTCTTTACTTTAAATGTAGGAAACCTGCAAAGTTTGTTTTAGCACTGTACTGTGTGACTTCAGGTCTTTTCCACTCTTTCTGTCAAGACCTAAGGTCAGTCAGTGATCAACGAGGCTGTCCAAGGATATGTGATGTCCAGCAGAGTCATGACTACACTTCATTTTCTTGTTCTTGTCGTGCCCTGCACCGTGTCACATATGGTCACTTAAGTCATTTGTCATAACACCTGCGGTTCTATAGCCAGAATGACACTGACTATGTTGAAGTCCTTATACTCTGAACTCTAAATGGTAGAAAACCGACCAGGAAGCTAGAGTACTCTACTTTCTTGTTTTTTTTTAGCTCATCCAGGTAACATTCTTGTAAATTAGCAGCTTCTCCTGTTGATCACTTACTACAGACGTCATCCTGAAAGTGACATCGACATTGCAGCATTGTTTTTAGAAAAGTCATTCTTTTTTTTACTGTTATCTTGTTAGCACTGTTTGTTAAAGACTCCCTGAAGTTTGTTAACAGTTACAGTTCAGAATGTACTTTGCAAGGAATGTTTGATATCATTTTAATTATAAAGTAAGGCAACACATTTCTTCATTAATGATTTTTAAATAATAGATATACTTTGTTCGACTAAAAGTCTTTAGAATTTGTTGTTTAAATGTGTTTCCAGGTTCTCTTCCAGCAACTGTAGTCAAAAGCCATACAAATATCAATTGTGATTTTGGAGTGACAGAGGAGCAGCAGTTGTTTGAACTACATATCAAAGATAAAGATTTGATCTTCCTGAATATTAATGGCAAAAGACAGATTTTTCTTATTCTTTTGATCACTCCTCAAAGACTCTCAGCTCTGCCTCTCGTGGTCCATTTGTGGGGCAGGGAGCACATGTTGAGATGGCACCCTACAAGGTTACTTTGCCCATTTGTCATCAGTCCTCCAGGCTTCCTGCGGCTTGTAAAAAGGTTGAGGTCAGCGTCCTTGCATCAGACTGTCCGCGGCAATGTCAGCAGAGCAGCTCAGATGAACGACCTGACAATCTCCACAGAATGTAACCCCATGCTCGGCCCTGATGGTAATCCTTCAAGCTCATTTATTTTCTTATTCACCCCGTTTTATGGCATTACAGTGTCAGTTTGACTCTCTTCAAATGTAAAACAAGTTTTAGAATCATTCATTTTAATTTCTTTGTACTGAATACATATCCAGGAGAAAATCCTGAATAAGTAACTGAATCTTGCGTCTGCTATTTGGTAAGAGAAAATGCAAGTGCTGGTTTTAACCTATGATATATAATGGATGTATTTGTTAAAGGACTATGTAACATAATAAACATAAATGTTGCCATTTGATCCATTGTAGAGTTAGCTTAACCTTAATTTACATATGCAGTTCTTTGGCAGGTCGCAATCTTTTCCTTTTTAAAACCCATGATTATCTTACAGCCTCTCATAAGCCTCAACCCCTCCTTTGTAACTCATCATTATGGCTCATGTAGAGAGGTTTTTAATATCTAATTTTGACCTTCATTTCAAATCAAAACATTGCATACATGCTCTTTGTTTGTTTATGTTAGTAAGATAGAACCTTTAAATCATATACGAATTTAGAATATGATTTAAACGTTCTATCTTTAATTGTCATGCATTGTACCTGACAAATATTTGACTATGAAAGCAGACTCAAATATATCTCCTGCTGTTCCACTGGTGACCATGAGGGGTCAGTGCTGCATTTTGAGAAATACATTCCTATAGAAAAGCTCAGCCGCTGCATCTGCACACCCGCTCGCATTCTTCAAGATAAAAGATACAAAGAAAGCTACTAGGGCAGCATATTTCCCCCCAGAGATCGCCCTTTCTATTAAGGTGCAAATTAGCAACAAGCAGTCCGGGTTGGAACAATACAGAGCTGTCTTTGTAAAGTTAATGATTTTATCTATCTCGATTGTCTTTGCCCTGTGTCTCCTCTTGTCCCTTTAATGGTAAATGTTTGTTCCTAAAGGCTTTTGCTCCTCAATACTGAGGTGTATTTGTTGTTTGTAATGGGCAGACACCTCACTAAATGTGTCTAGTTTTGTGTGTGTGTGTGTGTGTCCGTGTGTGTTTCTGTGAGTGTGTGCATTAGTGTCACTTTAGTATCTATCTATCTATCTATCTATCTAGAAATAAAAACTTACATGGTGTAAATGACATTTTGTCCATTCCTGGTGCCCGGCCATGTCTACCTACAAAAACTCACTCACACACTCACACACACACATGCAAACGAATACACACATTTAT